AACGATTTCATAGTGAGGGAGAATAAAAATGAAAATATTGAGCGGATATTTGAGCGAGTCAATCCAGTGTTGTAACTGTTGATAAAAATATTTAATGTTTTTATAGAAATAAATTTTTAAATGATGAGATGTTTGATAAATTTTATGAAATATATTTTGAGGACTAAATATAAGCCTTTTGTTTTTTTAATTAATCTAAATTATCAAAATAATTTCAATCAGAATGTAAAATATAAAATTGTGAATTCTCATTTTGCTTCGACTCTCCCGTAGCATAAATTGAAAGAGATTAATGCTACATCGGCGCATAGTATAGAAGAGACTCTCACTTACCTTAGGCGAGCTTAAATATTAACTCTTCTTTTTCTGTTTGTTGAATATCCAATGAAATAAACGTCATAAACCGCTTGTGGTTTCATTAAATTTTTTTGTTTTTTGCATTCCATTTTTTGTGCCAAAAATAATCGAAAAATTTATATCAAAAGCTTTTAATTCTTTAAAGAATGTCTGCAATAATAAATATTTAATCGAATTAACTTCTCATAATTTTATCAATAGCCTTTCCTGTAATTATAAATATGATCCATTTAATCCACCGCTCACCACATGAAACCAAAGTTAAAAGTTTCATATTATTGTCAATTAACTCTTATTTAAACAACATTATTTACAGAATAGTCACACGTCGTATAACCATGAGAACGTTCAATTATCATGTTTATCGATTTTATTTCTACTTTGAAAAATTAACATAATTAAACATGATGTTCCTAAGCTACTCAGAAAAGCCCACCATGATGAAATGAAACGCTTCACTTTATTAAGCTTGATAACGAAATTTTCATCAGATGTAGAAATGATAATGGCAAAAAGCTATCATAAACCCTACACAATGTTTTCCGAGATCCCGATTTAATCTACGTATCTCGTTAAATTTCCTCTTACACAGCACTCTCTTCTCTCCCGCAAATTGTGATTTTTCCAATGTCGTAGCAAAGCATCAGTGCAATTTGTCTAATGCTTACAATTTATGAAGGAAAATGTACTTATAAGCCTGCCTTTGTGTTAGCTTAGCTTTTTGAAATAATAAAGAAACATTATTTTTCTCTCTATTGAGTCTAGAAGCATTTTCTGCAAATTCAAAAGCTATGTAAAGCGACACCATGAGATTGCACTCAAGTGTAGAAATTTAGCATTTGTTTTCAAGTCTATTCTAGTCTCATATTTTCAAACAGTTGAGAAAGAACATCATAGAGTTATGAAGTATATTTTCGTGCTGTATATTTCGTGTTCACTTTTAATTACAAAATGCGAATGTCACAAAGAAATGGATTCCCTGAACGCCTTATCGCTGCTAACGTCACAAGTTGATTTCCTTGAAGAGATGTGTTTCAACAGAACGGAAGATGGTAACATTTTTGAAGACTTTAAGCTGACAGTTGAGGAGTGTGAAGCAAAAATTTTAAATGGCTCTAACGTAGCTTTTACGTACAGTGCTTTAGAAAGCTCAAATCCAGATGAATTTTATGCATTTTATACATCGTGAGTATTGCGTTATTTATTTCACAGAATGAATTATAATTAATTCTACCGCATAACAGACAGTGCACCAATCAAAGTGGAATTAAAATTCGCAATGAATGCAACAATGACATTAAACATATTTTAATGAAATGTTTAAACGAGACTGAAATCGAATCATTTAAAAAGATTGAAGACATCGCTACGCGAATTTTCAACGCTGTTTGCAACTTTGATCAAGATAAGATGAGAAGTAATTTCAAATGAAAGCGAAACATTTATTTAGATTAATCGTCACATAATCATTTCGTAGGATTTTTCTCTGCTAAAGGTCAAGAGTGTTTGAGTGATAACGTAATAACAATCGGTAATCTGTTCATTTCATAAATTTTTTTGACGTTTACTTTGCTTATTACTTTATTTTTATGATGTACATTTCAGGTTTTTGTTTCTTATCAGCAATGCCAGAAAGTGAGGAAGAAAAACAAGAACTTTTGTTGAGAGATCACAGCAGTGAAAAGGGAGATGAATGCAAGTGAGTGAAAGCTTTCTGATTACAAAATTTGTTTTCAAGTGAGTTTCATAACATTAATCTACTACTAGGGTGATTGATGATTTTGAAAAGTGTATGATGGAAGAGATCAACATTTGCGATGAAAAAAGCATATCAGAAATTTTCCAATTGATGTTTGGCTTTTTCAAGCATGAACTCAATTGCATTGATGTGCCTGAAGTAAGTGTCAGCTTAAATAACAAACATTTTCAACCTTTTTTTATTACCATTAAACTTTGTTAAAGGAACCACACCAAATAAGCGGCTCAGCTTCAACAAATGTTTTCTCAATCATTCTTTTAGCGATTCTTTTTATAGCCCTACATTTATATTGATTGAATTTTTTATGAGCAAACTTTCGAGCTCCCATACATTTTATTGGATAAAACAATTTTGACACAATCTATGTTGTTGTTTACGAAGCATGTAAAGATACTTCAAATTTTTGCTTACTTTGTATTTGATTTCATTTTTTTTTAATGATTTACATCAAACCAGATGATTAACTCGTCATGAATTCTAATTTAAAATACAATAATTAAGTTTATTATGTTTTAAGTTCTAAGAGAGAATACTTATAAATTTAAATTGCCAAATAAACGAAACAAATTTTATTGATCAAAATTTTTTGTATTCTCTGAGGTATGAGCTATGCATACTTATCGCATATTATTTCATCTCATCGTCAAAATGGTTGATTAGCTCATGATTTTATCTGTCATCTCAACAAATTATCATTAAACTGTTTATTTCATTTAAGTTTATTATGATTTTTTTTATTATCACATAGAATTGAACATACGTGGAAAATATTTTTGTATGTTAATCTTGATATGAATAAAAATTTATTTCACATGAAGCTAAAGAACTTTTAAAAAACTATGAATCTCAATGATATATATGCGAGGAGTCAAGCGAAAGTTAACGATTGTATCAACTTTTTGTTCTACAATATTCACATCTATGCACATATGTGAATGCAAAAACCCCCAACATACGAAAATCCTCGCATAAATCTAACAAGGAAAAAACTCGCTGAAATAATTGAGTTGAAATGTGCACAAACAAGTTCGCTATTCTGGCTTACAAAACTATCATCAACAACTCTGTGCAACTGCAGCTTTCCATGATTGAAAAACTTTTCATTAATTTGTTATTTGAATATTTGCAATAAGAAATGATGACTTTGGTAAAAGTTGTCTTCTTCGAATTACGAATGAATATAATAAAATTTTTCCGCTTGAGTTTGACATCCACTAAACTATTTGACTTTTCCACATTCAACCAAAATTTTTTCTCTCAAAATAAGTTTGAGTTTCGTTGGCTTGGCTGAACATGAACATATATTTGAAAATTACTGGCACATACCTTTGCAATATTTTGTACCATTCGAATGCATTCCTAAATCTAGTTCGAATTTTCTCTTCTACCTTTTTTGGAAAAAAATATCACAAGCAAAGGCATTCACATAAATTTCCCGGAGAATTTTCAATTAGTCTAAAGGTGCACCTTAAAGCTTACCAAGTTTCCCTTCAGATGGGAATTTTCAGAATATAAATTTCACTGTTTTCAATTTCCAACAAAGTTTCTGCATTCTGTAAATGATTTTGATACAAAGAATGTGCAAATGAAATAAGTCCTCTTGAATAAACATCATGTCGTAGAAATAAATTCAACAGTGAAAGTTTCAGACTAATGATGTAGGAAAATATGAAAACATGATTTAAATGTAAGTTTAAATAAAGTGAGCTTATTAGTATTTTTGTAATGAAAAGTTTGGAAACAAGTAGACAATTTATTTAGAACATTTTAATGAAAATTTGACAAAATAATTCAGCTATGCAGATTGCAATCATTTTATCTCCTTGCTTTATTACTTCATCATATTATTTTTGTACAAATCATCATCATCGCGTGTTTACCTTCCTTTGGCTCTTTGTACTTCCTTTTTGCTATCATTTACACCAAGCATTAAACGAAAATCCATTAAGCTTAGTAAAAAAAAAGCACACAATGAAAAGTTGTTATCATGAGATTAAAGAGAGCAAGACACTCAAAAGAACATCAAAAGTTACAAATTCTTTAGATTTAATTTCTACCTGTCGTGTAAAGGAATTCCTTTTAATTTTCCTAAGATGAGTGTAACAATCAAAGCTTTTTAATGCTTCCTTTTTTTTATTTTGAGTCGTTATTCATTTTCATCATTTTTCCATTCAGGAACATAAACATTTTTCTTGCTTTTTTAACGCTTGAAATCTTTAAAGATGAAAGAAAGTGTTTTAAAAACCTTGTTCAATCTATACTTCAATCTGTTGTTTAATTAACCAAGGGAAATTAAATCTTTTCCAACATTGTTATGTAAACTTATTTTTTTCTTTTGAAGTATAAAACTTTGTTAAATAAAGCTTCGCTTTTCCAAGACTGTGGAAAAGTTTGTTGTTTATTGCATTTTAATGCAAGAGCGATAACTTCTCCTGGTTGGGAAATGAAGGATAATTTATAGTCTTAATTTTAATCCGTTAGGTGGAATCATTTGATTGTGAAAAGTGGAAATACCTAATTCCAAAACAAATATTGACTACAGTTTTCAGAAGATGTAAAAGTTTATCTTTGGTGTTAATTATCAATTGGTCTTCTTGTTCAAAGAGAGAACATTCAATCTTTTGAATAAATTATCCCCAAAGTTTGTTTCAATGAAGATCTAAGAATTTTGAGCACACTTAATCTTGAATAATCTTTCAATGTCTCGACAGCACGTGTAATACATTTTTGGTAATGAAAAGTGTCAAGTATAAATCAAAAGTTAAACATTATATGAGTAATCTTTCATACAACCTTCCAAAATCCATTGCTTATCTTGTCAGCAATAATATAATCAATTGCAATGAGAGTTAATTATCGTTCGTTATCAAAAGCTTTGACTGTGTTTCTTAAAATTGAAAATAAACTTTTCGAAACTTAATCATCAGCATTTTGTCCATTCTCATGTTTATCGAATGAAATGAAAAAATACCCGGAAAAGGCTTCTCACTAAAAGTAGCGCTTGTCAATTAATTGAATCTTGTGTAAACATTCCCCAAAATAATGATAATTACGTGAATGACAATCATAAATGTCTAGAAGCGCTTTTCCTCGTGATTTTGATCTAATTTTCGCAAGAAGTAAAATTATTTTAACGCACACCAATTATTTTTGATTGCAAACACTACATTAGTAGTGGTTCCCAGCTGATAAGAAGTCTTCTCTTCCTATTCGTACTTCTTTTTAGTATCACTTGAAACATCGTTGTGCTTGAATCGGCTGCAGGTGTAAAATATCGCGAATTAATTATATTAAGTTTTAATTAATTTCACTCTTTAAACATGAACAAATCTAAAAGAAAGTTAAAGAATGAATTGCGATATCACAGACGATCTGTTTCCGAGCTAATGGAAGAAATGGGTAATCTTTAGCGCATTATGACGAATAATTTCATTTTCATGTGACGTGAAATATTTTATCAGCAGTTTATTGTCAATGACGTTACTTTTTCATATCTTAGTGTTGATATTCGCTTTGTGTATAAAATACAAAGTAAACAAAAGAGCATGCAAGCGTAGTAAGGATTAGAGAAACGTGCTTGAACAGCTTGATGAATTTACTTGTCCGTCTTATCGTCATTTATTTTAAAACAAAGACGCTCAAGAGAAATTTGAAATTAATTGAAGATCTTAACAATTAACAAACTGTACGTATACCCATGTAATATGTAAATGAGTGAATCATTAAGGGAATGGAAATAAAAGCGCTTTGCTTATCATTCCACACTAAAGTTTTTAATTAAGTTAAAAAAAATGAAAATGAAGGTAAAGTTTTTCGAAATTTGTAATTTAATTTATCACAGAAAAAGTCATTGTACGAAATATCACCGACAGTAAAAAATGCATTTTGTTTCATTTTGTTTAATAAACTTTTAAGAACTTGTCCCACTTTTTTCATTGGGAAAGTTCTCTTTGATGTTCTGTACAGTGTTACCAGGGGATGACGAAATAGTTTTCAACTCAGTCTAAAATAAACTTTTTTTGCTTTGAAAATATTGTAAAAATGTGTTGCTCACGTTAACGATACTAATTATGTTTACAAAGAAGTTAGTTACTTAAGTTTGAGGTGTTAAAATTCTCAACTTGATTTGAAACATTTACATTCTTGTATGTTTGTGTTAAAATTGACCTCGCTCAACTAAATATTTCCTGAACTACTAAAATCTGTATATTTATCTTGAAAATCACACGTGCAATTGGAAAATAAGATAATTAAGATTTCTTGGAAACCTTCACTTGCAACATTGTAACTCAATGTTTCACATTGTTGCTGTTATTGTTTTACGACAATGTTTTATCACGTATTCTAATGTTTGCCAATTATAGTTTAATGCTTTGTAATCTCTTAAAACATTCCAAACATTTTGTAGTTTTTATATTTTTTTTGTGTTTGTTCAGTTTCAATGAATATCTCAGTTGAATAAGTTTCTTTACTTTCTATTTCTCGCTTATTAAAATATCATTCACATGACATCACTTTTCATTGAAAAAGTTATATTTGAGAGTGTTTTAAGTGAATTGAATTAATTTATAGATCGTATTCAGGCATCAAATGGATCTTTAGATGGTGGAATTGTAAATCACGGAATGTTTTCGGATTGCTTAGACATCACTGACGATGCGTTGTCGCCTGACTCAGAATATGATGAGACCTTGGCATTTCCAGATGACAGTCTCACACTTGTTTCACTAGGGAATCCAAATCCAGTATTAGTTAAGACATCAGAGAGGCAGGAAGGAGCAAATGATGACGCAAACAACAGAAGCAGCAGCTCAAGTGACTCAGAAGACAACAAATCGGAAATTAGAACGTATAATGAAGTGCCTTACGCAACTATCTACAGTTCTCCGATAAAGTTTCACTCATACGATCGCAACATCTTCATTCCGGGAACGCAAATTCATGTTACGATCACAAATTATGAGAGGTCAGTGTTAATGTTTGTTGCTAATCGTGCTCATGCTGTGTTTTCTACAATGTTCATTGTTTTTAAGGTCAATGACGGCGCACCTATTCAACCCGATTCTATACACAATTCAACTGGAACATGGAACATTTGTTTGGACCATCAAAAAACGATACAAAGATTTTGCAAACTTACACAATCAATTGCGAATGTTTCGTGCAAGTTTAAATTTTCCACTTCCATCTCGAACACATCGTGAGATTCGAAGCAGTTTTAGGAACAACAACAAAATCAGCGTATCAACAATTAGCAATTCAAGTGTGTTGCCTAATGATGATGGAGTGGGACGGAAAAAGAAGAAAACGAAAAAGAAGAAAGGATCGTTGCCGAGATTCCCTAAACGACCTGACACTTTGATTTCATCCGATCAAATTCCTAATAGAATTACACAACTTGAGAGTTATCTTTACAATCTTCTGAACATTGCTTTGTATCGAAATCATCACGACACGATAAACTTTCTGGAAGTGTCGAACTTTTCCTTCATAAATGCACTTGGTGAGAAAGGAAGAGAAACGATGATTAAGAAGCGAACAGGCAGCACAAATCCCGGTCAAAAGAAATGCAATTTCTTAAATTGTTTTGCACTTGGATGTTGTATTCGTTGTAATTACTTATGTTCGGATTTGATTTGTGGTCAATGGCAGCAACGTTGGTTGATTGTGAAGGAAACATTTCTAGCACTTCAAAATCCTAAAACTGGAATGGTTCGTGGTGTTATTTTGTTTGACAATGGCTTTGACATTTCACTTGGACTTTATTCAACTGGTCTTGCTTCTGGGTTGCAAATCGTCACCAATTCCAAGTACATTGTACTGAAATTTTCATCAAAGAAGCAAGCCAAAGAATGGGCTTCTTATCTGAAAATGATTGCAAACACCTCAGCACGAGATTTCACTTCACCAAATCCTTTCAATTCCTTTGCACCAACAAGACCAAGCACATTGTCTGGATGGTTTGTTGATGGCTCAAGCTACATGAGTGCAGTTGCCGATGCACTTGAAGGTGCTTTGGAAGAGATTTTCATTGCTGATTGGTGGCTTAGTCCGGAAATTTATATGAAAAGACCGACATTGGATGGAGATTATTGGAGATTGGATAAAATTTTAGAAAGAAAAGCTGTAAGTTGATGGAATATGGGATAAGTTTTGTCTTATTAGCAGGCAATAAATTTTTAATTAAATGATAATTTTTCATTATTATCTTCGTGTTAATTATATAAACAAATTATTTTCCATATTTCACGGTACTTTTCAAGAAAAAGAGAAAATTAATTTTTGTAATTCTTTTCAAGCGCCAAGGCATCAAAATATTCATTTTGTTATATAAAGAAGTGGAAATGGCACTCGGCATCAACAGTTATTACAGCAAACAGAGGCTTGTGCAACTTCATGAAAACATTAAACTTTTACGTCATCCTGATCATGTTCGTATGAATGTTTTCTTTTGGGCACATCATGAGTAAGTTTCTTATGCGAAAAGTTTAAATTGATTTTAATTAACTTAATTTAAATTGATGAAGTTAATTGGAATTTTATTTTAACATCTTTCAGAAAGCTTGTGATTGTCGATCAAACGTACGCCTTCGTTGGTGGAATTGATCTTTGTTATGGACGTTGGGACGATCATCATCATCGACTCACAGACTTGGGCTCAATAAGCATCAAGTCAAATCGAAGTCCAAGCGTTAAATCGTCCCCAATCGTTGACAATCCAATTCGCTCTCTAATTTTTCAATCGAAAGAGATTCTCGAAGCAACCGCATCATCAACATCAACACAAGAAATTCAAACAGTATCCATAACAAGAGAACATCAATTAACAATAATTAAAGAGAAGCCAGAAAATGAACAAATTGATGAACATATGAAGCAAGACACGCCGGAAATGAAGCGAAAAGGATTAACAGAAAAGATTAAGGAAAATGTGAAAAGTACTGGAAAAGGTTTGATGCACAGATTATCGTCGCATGTTGATGAAAACAAGGAGAATGAGAATGTCCCGGTTGAACAGCAACCACCTGTAGTCATGAAGATCAACACAAACCTTCAAGTTGAAATTCCAACACATGACATGGAACTTGATGGACAAGCAAAGCTTTGGATTGGAAAAGATTACACAAATTTCATCCTGAAAGACTTCACAGATCTTAATCAACCTTTTGCTGATCTCATCGATCGAACAAAAACACCGAGAATGCCTTGGCATGATATTCATGCTGTGGTTGTTGGACAAGCCAGTCGAGACGTTGCGAGACATTTCATTGAACGTTGGAATGCTTGCAAGTTAGAAAAGGCACGAGACAATGTCAGTTATCCTTATTTGATGCCAAAAACCTACAACGACATTCGAATCGATCAAAACTTCTGGTCGAAATCGAAAGTTCATCTTGAACGTGTGACGTGTCAAGTATTAAGATCGGCAGCTAATTGGAGCACGGGATTTATAGAAAATGATTATTATGAGCAAAGCATTCATGAAGCTTATGTTGAGACAATCACAAAAGCCCAACATTACATTTACATTGAAAATCAATTTTTCATAAGTTTGGGATTTCCTGATACGATCGTTAAAAATCAAATTGCTGAGAGTTTGTTTAAGAGAATTTTAAGAGCTTACAAGTGAGTTTGACAATTTAATTCTAATTCACATCAACCTTGATTTGTTCAATCGTTTCAGAGAGAAAAAAGTATTTCGAGTAATAATTGTTCTTCCGTTGTTACCTGGATTTGAAGGCGATGTCGCTGGTTCGACTGGAAATTCTCTCAGATTAATCACACATTGGAATTACAGTTCAATTTGTCGGTAAGTAAAGTTCGTTAAATTATTTCCAATAATTCTTCAAATATCAATTTCTAGTGCTGAAAATTCAATCATTCGAAGGCTTATCAGAGCTGGCATGAAACATCCATCAGATTACATTTCATTTCATAGTTTAAGAAATCATTCGACGTTTGATGAAACTCCGATAAGTGAATTGATTTACGTTCATTCAAAACTTATGATTGTTGATGATAAAACTGTCATAATTGGATCAGCAAACATTAATGATCGATCACTGTTAGGTAAGAGAGATTCGGAAGTTGCTGTGATCATCACTGATGAAGCTTTCGAGGATGGAAAGATGAACGGAGATTCATTTCCTTGTGGAATTTACGCTGGTCAATTACGAAAGTATTTGTTCAAAGAACATCTCGGACTTTTATCATCAAACGATGATGATGTTGATGTTTCTGATCCCATCATTGATTCCTTCTACAAAGATGTTTGGTTGAAAACATCGAAACTTAACACGGAAATATTCGATGCAGTGTTTAAATGTATTCCTTGTGACAAAGTTCGTAACTTCCTCACTTTGAAACGATACAGCGATGAAACTGCTCTCTGTAAAAGTGATCCGGAGAAAGCTGAAGCGAAACTTAAAAGTGTAAAAGGATTTCTTGTTGATCTTCCTTTGAACTTTTTATGTGAAGAAATTTTAACTCCGCCAAACTTATCCAGAGAAGGAATTGTTGGGATGACTTTATGGACATAATTTGATTATAAAAGTCATTAAATGTTCGCATTTACATCGATTTACGTTTAAGTAAATTACGATAGCTCAAAGCTTTTAATTTTAAATTTTATTGTTGCGTTTTATTAGAAAAAAAGTATTCGATGAACTTCCATCTTTTTGTGACTGTCAGGAATTTTTTCGTACATATTTTCTTTTTCACAATGAAAGTTTTAAGACGTGGAAAATTTCTTTTATGAATATTTCATAAAATTTTCAATGTAATCTTGCATGAAACTTTTAGACTTGTAGTTTAGTTTAAATTTTAATCTTGTCAATTGTCTCTAAGAAAAATATTTTTTATAAAGTCTACAAATATTTTAAAATTTTATTGATATTCATGTAAAATAAAAATTTAAAGAAAGAAATTTTACAATTTTGTTTTGAGATTTTTAAAAAGTTTATTCCAGGAGAAGTCGAACTTGCCGTCTTCAACTTTAAATTGATTTAATTGATTAATGTGCTTGAAGAGATCGCGGAACGGAGCGTAATTGTTTAAGCAATTCAAGTCACCAATCATGATGAGTTTGTGTTTAGCTCTTGTTATTGCGACAGTCAAACGTCGACGATCATCGAGAATCTCAACATCAGAAGAGTTTGAAGTCTCTGATGACATCTTTGACTGTGTACATGAATAAATGACGATTTTCTTATCTCGTCCTTGATATTGATCGACTGTGTTAACTTCAACTGTCGAATGATGAACAAAAATCTTTTTCAAAGCTTCAACTTGACTTCGATATGGTGCAATAACGCCAATGGCTTTTCCACTAACTCCACAATCAATCAGCAACTGAACAATATGCAAGACAATAGCAACTTCACAATAATTCACATAAATTTTCGATTTATCAGCAAATTCATTTTTAATCTCAACATTAACTTCTTCAGCAAAATCTTTAGCAATTTGGTGAACATCGCCAGTATTGATAACTGAACAAGATTGATCAATGTGGAGTGAGAGAGCTTTTGCCAGCCATTTCTCGTTCACAAGCCTTTGTTGCAACATTTGAGACTTTGGAACATTCATCGTTGCTTTCTCCACAACTTCAGTCCCACATTTCAATTGTTCATTATAAGTAAGATTATTTGCTAACTTTGTGATGATTCGATTCATTCGATATTGCAATCCAAGAATCATTGTTGACTCAGATGAATCTAAACGTTCAAATAAACTTTCATGTGCACCAAGTGAACGGGCTTCGGAACTTCTCACGAGTGGCGATAACTGCATGGGATCCCCAACTAAAATGAATTTCTCAGCTGATATCAATGGTCGAATCACAGTTGGTTGAAATATCTGAGTTGCTTCATCGACTAAGCAATAATCAAACTTTCTTTGACTTAATAAAGCGTGAGATGAGCCGAGACAAGTCACAGCAACAATTTGTTGTTCATTGTAAACTTTCTCTAATTCTTCGACATTTTTACATTCAGCAACAATTGTTGACTCTTTGAAATCACGAAGCAATGGATGAATCCTCGAAGCCGATCCTAATCGCATGAATTTAATTCCACGATCCATTAAACGAAGAAGAATGTTGTCAACAGCTGAATTTGTGTGACTTGTGATCAAAACTGACTTCTTTAAGATCATCAACAATTGAATTAACGCGACAAGTGTTTGAGTCTTTCCAGTTCCTGGCAATCCTTTAATTAACATGTAATTCTCACATGTCAATGCTTTCAAAACCGCTTTTCTCTGAACTGAATTCAATTGAAGTAAAATCTTCTCGCCTTTCTGCATGACAATCTTTGGAAGATTATTTGTATAACTTGCCGGTTGTTTATCAATGATTATCTTCCTCAATCGATTAACATTTGTTTCTTTGTCATCTTCAAGCAACACGCCGACATTTGAGAAGTTGAAAACTGATTGCGATTGAGATTCGTAGCGATCAATGTGGAAAAGATTTTTATTATATTGAAGTGACAAGTCACGTGGCAATGTTAGTGATATGACTGAAGTTTCAACTTTTAAGACACGACCAGCAGCAATGCATGCTCGTTTATTTGTGCTGACAATCAAATATTCACCAACTTCAAAGTTTGACGTCGTAAATTCAAAATTCGCATCTGAAGAACGGAAATGATGAATGAAATCGTTTTCATGTGGTTGAACGAGATCAGTGATCTTGAGATTGATCAATGCTGAACCTTTTGCTGCTCTTGTCTCAGGAGTTTTCGTCCAAATATGTCGAAGTTTTATAGATTTATGAGCTTCATTGTGTTCCAAAGTGATCAAGTGACACCAATGAAGAAAGTAATCGACGTGGTCATCGGTCAAGTGGCTTGTAAGCTTTGTCTTCAATGTTGACAATGGATTACTTGCAGTCACATTCAAGTTTGTTTGTTTTTTCAATAATGTGCAACAAATTGTGTTGTAATCACAACGAGCGCAAGCTGAGTGATGACTGATGGGTTCGGGAAGATTTACTACCTTCTCTCGTGTTACTAAATCAACGCTGAGATAATGAGCTAAACGATTTCTCATTTGAATTAATCCACGCTTCTCAGAATGTGTAGCTCCAATCTCTGTCATGATTCCATCTCTGATGTAAAGCAAAAGTCCGGAATCAATTTGACTTCCCAAATCTTGTAACATCATTTGATAAATAATTAATTGACCTTTGTGTTCCATTGAAAATGAAGCTTTTCCTGTTTTAATCTCAAGTGGCATTAACTTCTGAAAATCATTGAAGAATTTATTTCGTGGATTAACTCTGACTGTCACGTCGATTTTCCCTTTCAATCCCAATCTTGGACACCAAACATTTTCTTCAATGTCTTGAATTTCACTGATTCGATCTGTGAACGGTTTTTGATTCTGATTTTTAACATTTACTTCACTCTCCATATCACAAACGATGTGTTGTCGCATAAACTCGTGAATTCTTGTGATGAAAGGTTCAAGTTCACGATAAATGCCATTCATCGTCATTTTGGAAGAATAAAGCAATTGAATGATGTCTCGTTCCTTCAAATAATCATCAACAGTCTTTCTAATCTCTTTAAGTGTTGTCAAATTCTTTCTTAACACCGTCTGAATTATTTCGTGTACCATTGATCCAACATTCATCTATAAATTATTATTTTAATTGATTTTTCATGTTCCGAGATTAAAATTCTTACCGCTGTTGCATCGCCTAATATTACGGGACGAAATCGTTCAGCAAGTGCTGATTTGCGTGCGCAAAATAAAGATCCAACGACTGTTGTTCCCGATACAAGTGTGTCAGGAAGAACGATGATGAATCCTGATTCCGATGAGACGATAAACATTTTTCGATCTTCATTCCAAACACCGCAAACTGATACGACGTCGCCTATTTGAACAGATGTGTCAAACCACGTTCCTATCAGGCAACATAAAGCTGTTTCTTGTGTTGATTTTTCACGAAGATGAAGAGTTTTCTCGAATTTCTGAGCAGCTTCTTCCAAATTATAAACGACACATCGTGAAAAGTTTGAAAGATTTAATTTGTTTTCGTGTGACACAATCTAATGAAACAAAATTGAAATATCTTAATATTAAGTCTTGATAAGCTAAGCTTACCTCATTCTTAAAATATTCATCAAAGTCATCATCATCGAAGCATAAGCCATCTAATTCACTATTTATATCATGCGATAAATTTAATTTATTTCCATTTTTCTCGTCAACATTTTGGGTAATTTTCTTTGGCGAAATTGTCACTTTAAACTTTTTACTATTATGGTCTAATAACGAAGACTTATTTGGACTCACTAGAACTGAAAACGACCTTTTATCCATGCTTACATTTGATTTCTTTAAAATTTTAATCTTAAGACTTTCGATGAATGTTTTCCCGCAAATTTTATCGTTCATCAGGGGTAGGAAAACTTTTGTACAACTTTATAAATCCATGACGACACCACGATGATACATAATATCCGACTGTCTTTAATTTTTTTCCAAAACATGTTTAACTCGATCATGAACAATGAAAAAGTTATCTTATATTTACAATAACAGATCATTAATTCCATTCTGATCAGACATTTATTCATTTTCTTACATTTATAAAATAATTCTATCAATTTTGTAATATTTTTCAACTTGATTCCAAATTTTTTTTATAAGAAAAAGTTTCTTCATAAGTATCATAATTAGTAAAGCAACTACAGAACAAATCAAAAATCTGTCAAGTGAAGTGGATGCCGAAGAAAGTTTATGATCCTTGTAAGGTCAGTGCTTGCAGAATACAAACTTGTTTGAAAGGTAAATTGCTTAGAACTTTTATTATTGGTTGCATCACACACGCCTTAATTTTTTCTTTTCAATTTCTTTTAATCTCTGATCGGCTTTTGAAGATAACCAGTATAAAGAAGAGAAGTGTTACGAGGTTCTTGAGGCTATGCGCCAATGTTGCATTAAGTGGAAATCATCAAGTCTTTGCTGTGACGGAATAGATATTAATAAATCGTATGAAATAACCATCAAAGAAAAGAAAACAAGTGAAAATTCAAAGTAATTATGAAAATTGACTACAAAAATCAAAAACCAAGCTTTCAACTTCCAAAAAGATCGTGGGTTCAAACAAATCCCCGACGTTTCATCATTACATCAACGTCACTTGCTTTACTTGTGTTTTTCTCAAAACCGCTGTACGACGCATTCATTGCTGACGATTCAAAAGTCCCAAGACCAAGTCATCCAGGTGCAAGATAAATAACGGAATGGAGTCAGTTCGTAAAGCAAAAGATCGTCTCAGCAAATATCCAATATTGATAGCAAAGTGTTCGATAAGCGCCGCGAAATATTCGCAGTGCGTAACTCGTGACTTAGACATTAAAAAGCATTCGTGCGATAAAGAGTTTCAAGAGTTTAAAAAGTGTCTCATTGAGCAGGCAAAAGCAATGAAAACACGTTTGTGAATAGAGAATTTTTAGTGATTTTTATACTAAACATAACAGAAGAAAATCGTCATAAACTTTTTTTCCTGATAAAAAAATAGAAAATTACAAAATTGCACAATGTCGAGTTTAAAGAAACATTTGCTATACAGCATCGTAATTCGGTTGTTGCTGATAGCTTATGGTGAAGTTCAAGATCAAATATCAGAAGTTCCATATACAGATATTGATTATCGCGTTGTAACTGATGGAGCTCGTCACATTTACAATGGAAGATCGCCTTTTAACAGGCACACTTATCGTTACACACCACTTTTAGCAATTTTTCTCTTACCTAATATTTACCTTCATCGCTGCTTCGGAAAGATTCTTTTTGCTGCTTTTGATCTAGTCATAGCTGTTATAATTAAATTAATTATCGTTGATGAATATCATCTGCTTGTCAGTGCACAATCAAACGACGATATCAAAGCAAAAATGGAGAAAAAGTTTTCATCGTCAAACGGTAATGGAGCAAGTAAAATTAAAGCTCGCTTATCATTTGTGTCGAAGAAGGAAACAGCAACTAAATGGTTCTCAACATCAGATCGAATGAAATTTGAGAGAATGGGAAATTTTGCTGCTTATGTTTGGTTGTACAATCCATTGACGATGGTCATAGCAACGAGAGGAAATGGCGATGCAATTACTTGTGCACTTGTTCTTTTGTCGATTTATTATCTGCTGAAAGTGCAAGAAAATGCCGGCAATGAGAAAAGAAACGAAAAGAATGTGATAATGTGTGGAATTCTTCATGGTCTGGCAATTCACTTTCGATTGTATCCAATCTTCTTCAGTCTTGCTTATTACATGTATTTGTCGGACATCAAGAACAACATCGACGGAATTTCGTCACTTTTCAAATGCTTTCTACAGCCAAATCGAAAGCAAGTTCTTCTCATTGTAAGTGTCTTAAAGATGTTGATCTTCACAACCGGCGTTTTTTATCTTCTCTACAATTACGAGTTTCTCTACGAGTCAATAATCTACCATTTCGTCAGAAAAGATACAAGACACAACTTCTCTCTTTACTTCTATTTGCAATACTTGAATTCAGCTTCATTACGCGTCAATATCATAGAAAAACTTCTCACAATCATGCCTCAATTAGTTCTCATCATTCTGATCAGTTTTCACTTCTGTCGAACGCGACAAACAATTCAATTTGCTTTACTTTTAATCTCATTCATCATGGTGACTTACAATACTGTCATCACGTCGCAATATTTTGTTTGGTTTCTGTCACTCTTACCATTGACAGTTAACAACTTCAGAAACTTGACATTACGACAAGTCATTGCTATGCCATCGTTATGGTTCATCGGTCAAGGATTGTGGTTACTTGCAGCATTTTTCTTAGAATTCAAAGGAATTAACAGTTTCGACTTCATCTGGTTGGCAAGTGTCATCTTCTTTATCATTAATGTAGTCATTGTGCAAATTTTAATTGAAAATTATGATGATTCAAGTGTGAGATTGAAATAGAAAATAAAAAGAAAACAAAATTTAGATTGAAAAATTTTTAATTTTTATTTTTTTGTTTAGGATGTTGGCGATCATTTCCAACATTTAAAATTTAGATTAAAAAATCCCACTCAAAAAGCTTGTTAATTACATTAATTTTTCAGTCAACTCCAAGGAAATTTCAGCAAGTTTTGAGAGTTGTGCTTGAAGATTTCTTTCAACATCAGATTTAAATCGATCAACTGATTTGATAATTGAGAGGACAGATGATGAGTTGAAAGTTATTAAGTTGCCTAAAGCTTGATAAACTCTGAATGTCGCTTCAGGATCACTTGCCCATTCCAGGAACTTCACAATGCCAATGGAAAGTGTTGTGGTTATTTCATCAGATGGCGAATCCTTTTGAAGAATCGATTGATTCAGGAAAAACGTTCCAATAGCGATTTGCAGATTTCCATTTCCTTGTGTCATTTTCAAAATTTGATCAGTAATTTGAATTACGTTACCTTCAACAATCCCCCGTCCCCAATCGTGAACGATGATGTTACATAAAGCACGAATCGACATCAATTGATTCGGTGGTGTCGTTGTAAGATTTTTCATGATTGATTCAATAAATTTCAATGACAGTGACGAGCAAATTTGTTGATTTCGAACAATTAATCGAACAACATCGAGAACAGGAAAGAGTTTCTCTGATGGCCAGCACAACATTTGTTCAAGATGATCAATTGCTGATTTGTTCACGTTTTTCGAATCAATTAAAGCTGTCACTGACGCCAAAGCATCTTCAGACTGCTTCAAATCATCATTCACTTGATTATTGAACTCTTTCAACTTTGCTAAAATCTTCGTCGCATCATAAGCATCGAAAGTCACCAAAGTTGTACTCGGGATGTGCTTTTTAATAATAAATTCCTTTTTACCTGATGAGTAGCTATCACCACCAGTGAATGGATCAACATTTATAATTCCTGCATTATTTGATCGTTCACGAAAATTAACTCCGACTGAAGACGAAGCAGGAACTTCATTACCATTGCTTGAAGGTACATAACGACCTTCACCTGTGAAAGGATCGAAGAAATCATCGTCAGCTCCAACTGGTGGCAATGACTCTAAATTCGCATTTTTTATTATGAAGTTTGCAACTTGTTCGAGATAAGCTTGCGGTAAATCGTTTGCATGAATGAACTTTTGAGCAGCAAACCAAGGATCTTCTGTGCGATTAAAAGGAAGTTTCAAAGGTGGCACACCATCTTCGATATCAACATTAAACACAAAATCATATTCTTTTCCTTCATGCAAAGACTTTCCAGATGTTTCTTTTGTTCCACCAGTTGCTCCCATCACATCACCAACGCATTCCCAATTTCCTTTCGTCCATTGATAGCAAAGAATTTTACCATTGGGTTGGCGAACTAAGCGTGTTTGACCTTCAGTGCCTTCTTGTAATAACGATTCGGGACCAGGTAAATCATTAACTTTAACACCACCAAGTTCTGCTGATTGTTCAGCTTTTCTTGTTTCAACAGCTAAAGTGAAAGCAGACAAAACTTCTTCATTTGCTATGCGATTTTTGTCTTTTGAAAAGACACGAACAACACCGTCACTTGCACCACTAACAATGTCGCCATTTTCAGTACAAGCGACACTCCAAATCGATTGAACCGGAAGCGTTAAAGCATCTCCAAGAGCACCTTTAGAAGCAGACCATAATCGAATTGTGTTGTCTTCACTTCCAGTCACAAACACGTCATCGCCTAAAATAGGATTTAATGCGATTGCGTAAATGTAATTGGAGTGTCCATGAAATTCCTTCACACAGTCATAAGTGTCGTTCCATAATCGAATGGTTGCGTCATTTGAGGCACTTAAAAGTGATCCATTTGGGAAACTCGCCAATCCTCGAATGCAATCAGTATGACCTTTCAATACAACGAGTCTCTCTCCTTTTTCATTCCACACGTAAATATTCTTGTCTGCTGATCCAGTGGCGTATTTGCCATTCTTTAATGCAATCACAGCCCATACAGCAGCGTCATGTCCTTTCAGTTCAATTGACGATGCATCAACATCGAGTTTCGTCCATATACGAGCAGTCTTGTCCCAGCTTCCACTGACGAGTATCGCAGGTGATAAACCTTGTGCAAGTGCACAAACAGTTTCTGTGTGATCTGTTAAAGTTGCGAAAGGTTGAGCTAATCCAAAATTGTATAAACAAATAGTTTTATCATTCGATGCTGTTGCAATCCATTTGCCATTATTAAAAACAAAAACTGCTGACACGAAGTTACTGTGATTCCGGAGAACTTCTGCTTCTTTGTAAGTTTTTCTAATGGACAAAAATTTAGCTTAAGAATATTTATGAGAAATTTTTACTTTTCTTACCCGTCTTCATTTCTATCCCATATCTTGGCAGTTTTATCACGAGATCCTGATATAATGCAACCATTTGATGTTGCTACTGAACGAACATCTAATGAATGTCCAATAAGTTCAGTTGAAAGCTTAAAATCTTCAATTTTTATTTGTTCGCTCATAATTGCTCGAAACTCAAAATTCGTATAATCCGCAAGTCACTGTTTATAGCGATACGTAATATTATTGGTAAATTTTACAATACACTATTAATTGATGAAAGCTTAAATGAATTTAAAGTCAATATTTTTAAGCTGCTTGAAGGTATTTCATTTGATATTTTAATAATTTAAAATTTCGATTCTTATCAAGCGGAATTGGATATAAACAGTTGTTTGCCCCTTTGATAGTATATGAGATATGTACCCCTAAATATTCAGTAAAATAATATCACCCCTCCGAGTTGTTTTTTATTTAAAAAAAAACATTGCAATGGGAACTTTAACCAAACTATTTGCAGCTCTTTCAATATCACGTCAACTGATGAAAACATCAACAACTCTTGGAGTAATTTCTCAGTTTCAACGTTCACATAAGTTTGTTGTTATACCGGAACCTGGAAAGGGCCATAAACAATTTCGAAGAATAGTTCATTATCCAAAAGATGGAAAGTACACAGTGAAACCATTAGATAATACACATTTAGCTGGCAGAGATCCTGTTACCGGCAGGAAAGTTGTACAAGGCCTTGGTGGTGGAGTAAAACATAAATTTCATTGGATAAAATATGAACGAGATGGACCTTCAGGAGAAGGTGAAGTTCAACTTGAAAAAGTTTTAGATATCATTAAATGTGGATGTCGTACAGCCCATGTCGCTCTTGTTGGTGTAGGCGATGAACTAAAGTATATATTGGCAACAGAAAATATGAAACCAGGTGACATACTGAAAACATCAAAGTTTATTCCGAGAATTCCGGTTCGAGCTAACGAAGGCGATGCATTTCCACTTGGTGCTCTTCCTATTGGAACTAAAGTTCATAGCATTCAAGCTCATCCCGGTGAAATGCGTCATTATGTGACTGCAGCAGGAACCTTTGGAACAATTTTAAGGAAGATTGATGACCGAATTGTTATACAGCTTCCTACGAAGAAAGAATACGGTTTTCTCCAAAATTGCATGGCAACTGTTGGAAGATTATCAAATGTCGAACATAGCTCGATACATTTAGGAACACCTCAACGACTTCGTGAACTTGGTTATCGACCACGATCAGGTAATAAATAATTTTATTTAGAATTTTTTGTTTCTTAATTTGTTAATTATTTTTTAGGCTGGTGGCAAAGGAAAAGTGGACGTCATGGAAGGAAAATTAAGCGTTTGCCACCAATGAGATTAATACAACCAGCAAAAGTAAGAGACTTTGAATCAGTAAAGTTTTCTGCGGACCCATAAACTTTAAAGCAATTGAAATTTTAGAATCTTTATTAAAATAAAAACTGAATTCACACAACTTTTGCCTTTAAATTATCAAGATCACGTTTCTGGATTTGTCTCAATTGTTTCTTTTTTATACGCTTAAGTTTTGAAGTATTCGTAATTATTTGAACTTGTTGATTTTTCAGTTCATTTTCCTCTCGTCGTTTCGCGTTTTCTTCACGTCTTTGCTTCTTCAATTCATTTTCCTGTAATTACAATAAAACATTTAATGTCTACTCAGAAATGTTTCCGTTTAATTGTACATTTTTCTTCTCTTCCTTAATTGATTTTGATAAGGCTTTTATTTTTCTTAAATCGTCTCTTAACTTGAGATGTTGCTGTGTTGTTTTTTTCGGCAGTGTGTTTTGTATTTTACGAAATTTCTCTTTGGGCCCTTTCCAAAATTTACCAGACTTTGGTAGGCCTCTTGTATTGTCTGTTTTGACTTCAACTGCTTTCTCCTTTTTCTTAGCCATTTCTAAATCTATTTTTATTTGTTTTTATTCTGAAACGCGAGGTTTTATTTTTTCAAGGGGAATGGAAACTTCATGAAATTGTGTGTTGAGAGGGCCGTTCAACTTCTTATTTAGATTATCGATAGTAGTTCACAACCCCGCTATCTATGGAAATCTCAAACAAAATTTTCTTCTGAAGCTCCTAACATTAAAAAGTTGTGAAAAATAATTACCTCATTATAAAAACAATTGTATAATAAGTGAAAATAGCTAAAATGGAGCTTGACAAGATCTGTCGTTTATGTCTAACAATAAAGAAAGACATGAGAAAGCTTTTTACAGAAAATATAATTTCAATGTTAGAAGAATTTACTAGTTTGAAGGTAAAAAAATAATAAAATTCTCCCTTTTCAGTATTTAAATAGTATGTTTGTAGATTGAGAATAATCCTGGTTGGCCAGAGAAAATTTGTCTTCAATGTGTACATCAAGTTTCAAGATGCCACTCGTTTAAGAAGAGAATTGAAAAATCTGACGAACAACTTAAGCAGTATATAAAATCACTTACAGTCGTAGTTGAAGATCCAACAATGAAAGAAATGAGAGTTCCTGAAGTCAAACAACAACCAATCCAACAACAGCAACAACCACAAATACAAGAAATACAAATCCAAAGACCAGAAACTCATCCGCTTATTATAGCCAATGTTCTTAATAATCCTTCAACAATGCTAAACAGTGGACAACAATTAATACAAACACCAAATGGTCAAATAATTCAAGCTCAAATTGGACAATTTATTCAGGGTCCAAACAACACAATTCAAATGATTACTACAAATCCAACAAATGTAGCACCGCAGCCTCAATTACTTCACTTAAGACAAGAACCAGAAAATAGATGTGAACTAATTGTGCAACCATCAGAAATGTCAGAGCCTCATTATTTTGAAGAAATTCCAGTTGTTGTTCAATCAGCTAATGGCCAACAAACAATCCTCAATCTTCCTCATCATCAAGTGCAAGCACTTCAACAACAAATCGCTCAATCAGCGAACAACAATCAACATCATCAGCATCAACAGCAACTTCAACTTCATCAGCATCTCACAAATACTGTCGCATCTCAAAATACTTGTACATCTGAACCCGATGAAATAGAAATTCATGAAGTTCAAGAATATGAAGATTTTGGATGTGATGATATGGAGGAAATTGTGAATGAAGATGATCAAGAGCCAGAGACAACTCAAACAACTTACATTGTGCAAACAATTCAAGAGGAAAGTTCAGAAAACTCAGATTCTGATGACAAACAATTACTCGCGGAATTTCTTGCACAACAAACACACAGTGAGCCAGGAAAGCATAAATGCAATCTATGCAATCAGGAATTTAAACACCACAAATGGCTTCATAGTCATATGAAATCAATTCATATCAATTGGATTAAAGCCAACTGTAAGAAACAACCTCAGTGCACGATTTGTGGTAAAAGTTTTCGTGGTCCTGGAATGCTTAAAATGCACATGAAGACACATGAAAAAGAAAATAAACTTCCAACATGCAGTATTTGCTCGAAAGAATTCAAATCAAAGTCAATTCTTTATCGACATCGAGCGACACATTTCTCGAATCAAAGACAATTTAAATGCAACATCTGTGACAAGAATTTCTCATCAAATTATCAACTCAATGCTCATATTCAGCGACATCAGAAGAATCATCAATGTGCACATTGTGAGAAGAATTTTTCGAATGCTTCGGATTTGAAGGTAAGAAAAAAGTATTTTATTAGCTTAATTTACTTGCTGTAGTTTGAAGACAAATAAAATTGTGGATGGTCAATTTCTTATACAAATATTAATTGAATCAACTTTCCATTAAATTCTCTTTCTTATCAAATTTAGAATCACGTTCAGCAACACTTGGGAATTACTAAAACCACCTGCGACATCGATAAGAAGTCAACAGAGAATGAAATGAAAACTAGTTAAGATTTAGTAGAACAAATTTTTAACTAAAATTAATTAATTTTAGATATTTCGAGTGCAATTTTATTAATTCATTTATTTTTAAGACATTTTCTGAAAAAGCTGAATTTGTTCCAAAAGCTTTCAAGGAAATTTAATTAACAAATGAAGACATTGAAATAATAATTTTTACTTCATAGCTAGAAAGTATTTAGTAATTCAAATTGTATTTTGATTAATTAACTTCTCTGTTTTCTTGTTCCAAGGATTGGGAAACTTTTTTGAATAAATATTTTGTTCTCTTGGAAACAAATTAATTACTTTTTTATTTATTTTCTATGTTAATGGTAATGTGTGGTGATTTTCTTATTGAAAATTTGCTTTTCCACACTTTTTCTTTCTTTTCCTTGTCCTTTACGGTTCATTTAATGAAAAGGTTAGAGAAATGAAGTGAAATGTTTTACATTGTACGTTGCTAATGACAACTAAACTTAATAAACAAACGATAAACCACAACATATTGATGAGAGTAGCAGCAAAGTTATCAGCTAAAAGTTTTAATTAAAATTTCGAGATATTTAACAATTAAAAATGCAAGATAAATCCCGAATGGGAGCAGCATCAAAGCTGATACATCGTAAGACTTCAGCGGAGATTGTGAGTGAAGCAAGAAATAGTTTAATGGCTGGTGGAAGTGTAAGACTCGTTTCAACACGAAGACCAATAACCCCGAATGTTAACAAACGACAATTATATGGAAAAGACGGTCCAGCAGGTCGTCCACCAAGTGCATTTAATTTAAAGTATTTGCAATATGAAACGAGAGCTTTACCATGTCTTGAACCCATCAGTCAAATGGCCGAAGAGTTACACAAGAAAATCGAACGATCAGGTTCACTTGGAACAATCTACGAGTCAAATTTAAAGACGAAACTTCCAGCACTTGTCGAGTCACCAAGAGAGACAGTTGCGGGATCTTTAGAAAATTGTAAGTAGTTATTGCACTTGAAATTCTACGAACTTATTAGCAATCACGCGATATTATCATTCACCTTCATTATCTGAATTTACATGAATGTTGATTTCGGTTGGCCCAGTTGGCGCGCATTAACGAAAATCGATTATTTTCTTGTCGTTTTCCCTTTTTGTGGCGTTCCTTCCGCAGTAAGAGAATCAATGCCGTTGAAGAAAGGAAGTTCAGTTTCGTTGCCGGACGGTACAATTGACATCAATGAACATACATTAAAACGAAAGCAGCCATCGTCTTTTGATGATAAAACTTTCAGTGATGTTATTGACGTTAAGAATGATGATAAGACAACAAACGATTTTGTAAGAAATCGACTGATTAGATCAAATGACTTACTCACGCAAACATCGACCGAAGTTTTACTTGACTTACTCAAGGAATATTCTGGGGTTAAAGAATGTTCAGAAGAGACACAAACACATCTTTACATGGTAAAATATTTTGTTAGAAAAATAATTAAGTGGAAAATCGTTCATCGACGAGAACAACATGAAAGCATAAAATTTGATATTTCTTTTTCTCAGATTCTTTTGGAGCTTTATTCACGTGTGAAGGAAACAAAAGGAAGTTGGCGTAGTGCAATTTTAGGTGCACTTTACGGTCTTGTCGAATGCAACTCACCAAAAATTCTTTTGGCAGTTGCACGTGTTGTACTTGCGCTTGGTGTCACTGGAAGTAATTTAACTGGCGCTTGTAAATTGGTGTTTAAAGTTGCAAGAAATGAAGTCAACGATTCGCTTTTTATTGATTCGGATGTTCCAGAACTTCTTGTTGAAGCATTGGGGAAAGTTACACCAACAGCTGATGGTGACCCGGAAGCAGCAATTTATGGATATGGTGCAATAAGATTTCTAGCGACAGCGAATTCAAATACTTTAAGTAAGAAAACGGAAAATCCAGAAAGTAAAACAATTAAAGTTTCCAAACATAAATCTTTGGCTTATCGTCTTGTTAAACATGGAATTATCCAACTGATGATCGTTCATCTCCAAATTTTAAATGAGTTTGGATCGACAGCAAAACTTTCAGGTCAACCACTTCATGCACTTTATCAGCTTTCGGGAGCTTTAAGAACGTTGAGTGGTTCGCCAATATTTGCACAAATCATCAACATGAGACATTCTCGTGCATCATCAATCGATGAAGAAGACACACATTTAGAAATTGCTGGAAAACATTTGGTGCGTGCTGCAGAAATTTGCATGGATGAGATTGAAGTTCAAACGAATATAATTCGAACTTTAAGCATTCTTTCAGACATTGAATCATGTTGTGAGTTTATGTCGAGTGATGCTGGAAGATTAGGAATTCTCTTCGGTGCGATTGGTATTAATTATGGCTCAGGAATGCCAGAAAAGCCATTAGCAGTCATAAGTCGTCTCGGTTACATTTTGGGGAATATTTTCGCTCGATATGATGACGCGAGATTAGAATTTTTCAACAATGACGCTTCAATGGAATACGTGCTTAGCACGCTTGAATTCTACTCAAATCAACGTTTCGATATTAAAAACAACAACGGCGATACGGTAATGGATGCGCTTATCAAACTGATACGTGTAATTGCAAACATGAGTGTTAATGCAGAAGTTGGTTATGGTTTAGGTTTACGACCTCCATTAGGAGTTGTTCTTCTCAATATTTTGCTAGAAGCGAAAGAGATAAAAAGTGATGAAGCAATGGAACTTGTTTTAGCCACACTTGCAGCACTTCATAATCTGTCATATTACCAAAACACTTCTGATGAAACGATGATCAATCATCCTGGAAGTATTGTTGAGAGAACGAAAGATATCAGCGTGACACTTTGTCAAATTCTCGATTGGGGACCTCAACTTGCAAAAAACGAAGCTGCGAGAGTGCTTGGAAATCTCACACGAAACTCAATGGCAAGACAATCTTTTTGTGCTGCTAATGGATTGAAAGTTCTTGTAAAATGTCTTCAATCTGATGATGGGGAGTTGGTGGAAACATCTTGTGGTGTTCTTGTGAATCTTCTTGGCGATTGGGAACGTCGGCAGCCATTCAAAGAACTTAAAGGAATTCGTCTTCTTATTGACATTCTTCAAAAGGCAGCAACAGATGGAAATTGGCTTTTAACTGGAATTGTTTGCCAAGCCTTTTGGAATTTTGTGATTGACAGCAGTAACGTCATTGACAGTTTAGGTGACAAAGAAGCTGACATATTGGCACGTGATTTGGCTGATTATTTAGGTAAGTTAAAAGAATTTCAAAAGTTTTTAATTTTTGAATCAACATTTGATTGAAATCTTACAGATGAAGAGAGAATATTTGAAGGAAATCTTCCAGATCCGATGTGGGAGCAATTTGCGCAAGTTGCTACTGATCTTCTCGAACGTCTTCAATCTTGCATGTCACTCAACTCAACACCTGTTGGAAGTTTCGATTATGGTGATGATGATGTGGATCTTGCAAGAAATTCATCAACATACAAATAATTGACATGAAAGAAAACTTTATGAAACGATCCAAGTTTGAAGTAGAATGTTAGTTACATTTATGGAAATAAAGAATTTTATGTTTAATGTTTTATCCCTTCAATATTCATTGTTAAAATTCAGTTCATCAAACTAATTACTGAACATTTAGTCAGAAAGATGCTTCCACTCAAATTGATAATCATAAATCATCATCGCATTGGTTCCATCATGAAATGCAAACCCACATCCTTCGAAGAGAGAATGAATGAAGAAATTTAGTTTTCGAGGTGTTGAAACCGCAGAATTGTCGATGAAAATGTTTCAGATATCAGCAGCAATAAACAATAAAGTTGGCAAATTAAGATGTTTTGAAGTTTTTAACGATGTTCCTCGATGCTTGGTGTGCTATTTATGCCGTCGATTGGTGATGATAAAATACAAACCAAAATTCTTTCAATCGACACCGAAATGATGATAAATCTTCTCATTTCTTCTCTCAACATCAATGTGCACAGTGTGCATTGAAGAATGCTGAGGATGAAATCTTGAAAACGAGAAGAAGAGATTTATGATAAAAAAAGTGTTCAGAAAATCATAAAATCCCGTAAAGATCAAAAGAATGCAACCGCCAGTTGAAATCGCTTTTGGAGTGTTTCGTTTAACTCGCTCGACTCTGTCGACATATTCTTCTTCAATTTTCACCCTTTTTCTCAACTTCATCTTACATTGTCACTTATTATCAATAAACATTTGAATTGCTTAGCTTTTTCCCCAGAAATTTTCAGCCGAAATTTATTGGATGCTTGTGTTAACTGCGGACTGAAAACGAACCACGAAAAATTGAAGATGAAAAGTTATTTGAGGAGAAAAGTTATGTAGCGTGAAAAATTTATTTGAAGTATGAAATGAGGAAATTTTCTAGATCATGTTCTTTGACCTTAAAGCACTTTTCATCTACAAACTGCTTTGATTGTCGCAAATCATGATTTTATCAGATTTCAACAACCACCACATGCCGCATGCTGTCTGTAAGTGCAAAACATTTTACTTTACAACACTTAAAATAAAACATCAGAAGAAAGAAAATCATTAATTTATGAATTCTCTTCTCCCCAACATAAAATGAGTGAACTCATAATGTACCGCAACTAAATATTGACAGAGTTGGATTTGTTGTAAGGATTTGATTCGGTGAGTTATTCGAATCAATGAGAAGTTAAATGTTGTCATTTAAAATTAACATTTTGAATGTAAATTGACCATCAACATTTACAATGTTACAAAGAAATTAAAAGAAATCTCCCAAAGCCTTCTCTGTAAGTTCAACAGTTGTTGCCTCCTTTTGGCATGAAGCGCGAAATTGCGAAAGGTAAAAAAAATGCAATTTTACGACTAAACGAGAAGATTCTGTGGAATCCATATGGAACATGCATGTTGGTAGACAATGTGTCTGCAAATGAAAATCGGTGAAGAATGAAAAGTCATGAAGAGATGAAAGGAAAAAATTTTTTCGCTGATCTGCTTTTTTGAGTGTTGCTTTGTCGGTGCCGGCGGGAGAATTTCGTGAACTGTAAAACTTTGTACGCGATCTCAGGTGTGTTCAAAGGTTTCTTTAAAATCTCAACATTAACATAAACCCGTAAGCGACATTCGTCATGCCATCGGAATCTAATTCAAATCAAACAAAACTAATCAAATCATCGAAAAAAAAGAACAGAATTAAATAAAATAGAAAATTGAATTAAATCAATCGCTCCGAAAGGAAGCAAAATTAAATTCTTCTTCGCTGTTTGATCATGTCGTGGACTACTCATTGATTTCTTCCAAAAATTATTCATTTTTGAAACCGTGATGATGACTTGTAAGATTATCTGAATATCAAATGAAGTTACCGAGTGTTTTGATAGAAAATAAATGAAACAGTAAATAACAAATTGATTTGATCGGCGGCAACTTAAAATTCGCTAAAGTCACTAACTAATCTTTTTCTTTCTTTTAAGCCATTGATTAGTATTTAAGTAAGCATTCTCATCATTTACAAACTCTTCCCAAAGCTCTAGTAAATTATTCACAGTCTTACAAATCGGACATTTTCATCACGGTCATCGCTAATTGAAGACGATTCCGATTTCCCTCGTCCGGCTTTGTATCTGATGATTAATTTCCAGTTTTATAAACAAAACAAAAAAAACATGCTAAGTACTACAACATGAAAAAAAGCATCGAAACTTCTTTTAATCTCACGAGATGATTCAGGTGGAAAATTAATTACACGGCTCATTATCTTGAACGGTTTTAAGAATGTGGTTCACATGGAGATTAAATACTTTCGATTGATCAATTGGACAAAAAGCTAAAATTCCCATAGTTCCCGTAATTTACCAACTAAAAAGCCGATGATCAATGACTTGGCATCGATCATAAAGCGAAAAGTTTCTGGACCCACTGTGGATATCATTGCATCATTCAAAGCGCCTCCAATAAATAAAAACAAATAAAAATTCCACCCGAATATAGCTCAGACTAATTAATTTGCTTCTCAAATATTTTCAGACACGACGATTAATTGCCACTAATAAATAATCATCACGAAGCAGCTTCAGAACCTGATTCAATCCTCAACTTATGTTTCTTTTCCTTTGTCTTTTCTTTTTCCTTCTTTCTACTTTTATTAATGTTCTAGGAAACTTAGAGAAGTGTTCGGATTTTTTGAGTAGTCATTAAATTTCTCAGGAAATTATTTATTCGGAGATTAATTTTAAATGTTCATTAATGAACTTGTAAAATTCGCAACATAAATCTGAAGCATAAATTCAGATGTCCTTCAGATAATCAAGTTAAGTTACTAATTTCAGGAGAATCCAAACAATGTTTAATGTTCGACAGTGTGAGATTCTCATTGATGTAGCCTCAATAACCTCGTCATATATCTTAACTATGCCTCTGTTTTGATTATGTTTCGTTCACTTGGGAACATTTAAATGATCAGCAATTATTTATTCTCCCTTCACATTGCCTTTTTTTCTCTTGTGTAAATAAATTTAAAGTATAGCTAATTAGTGGGCGATCAATGTTTGTTGTAAAACATCATTTTGATTCATCCTTGGATTATCGTCAATTAATCATGACGTAGGAAAACTCTTTCTTTCTTCTTTTCTTATTATTGATATTTATGACCATTTTATGAATCAGCTGATGATTAATGAACATGAGAAAACGTTTCAAGATTCGAGGATCCATACTTACTTAAACTGAAGTGAAATTTATCAATGAACTTTGTTAAAAATATATTTCATGCTGTTTAGTAAAACAAAAGACATATCCTAAGGCGGAGTTTCATCATTGTCTCGATCTACAATGAGATGCTCTGATCAGTTTTCCATCTACCAGAGTGAGAAAGCAACATTCACGTTCTTCTCTGTTTCATTTTGAGTTTTGTTTTTTGAAACTTGAATAAAATTTCAATTGGACACGGTTGGCGAGAGACCCAAGAAGATGTGAACCAATCTGTGCAAAGGCAGTTGGTGTTTTCAATTCGATGTGATCGGCACGGCACGCGTTGTTGGGAAAGAAAAAAAAATTATTAGTTTCGAAGGCGAAGATCACATTTGTTTGATACGGTTTCGCATATATGAGTTCCTACGCGTAATCAGTGATCGCTACGCGACATTAAGCATTTAGGATAATTGAAATAAATTGGTGGAAGACAAGCAAGCAAACTTACGGAATAAATTATTGTGATTTAATAAATGGATATATCTGGATCATTAGGTAGCAATATCAGACCACTTTTCGCTGGATATCCTTTTCAAGGTAGCGCACTTAATTCTTCTTGTGTTAATATTCAATCAAAGTTTCATAAAATCAGTGAAAACTTAATTTAAAAAAAAATTAAATCAAAAGCCATTGAAAGTTGTTTGGAAAGTAAGGACAGATGTGCTGTTTAAAATTTGATGTCATTAACTCCTAGTCATAGCGATAGTTTCAAAGGAAAAATATTTCTATGAAAACTAAAAACCTTCCCCCATAAAACACAATTTTTCACGCCATTTCAATGTGTTTGCTTCCGAAAAGAGCATCAACCCCTGACGCATAATCGAATCAAACGTTTTTGCTTGTTTCAAACATTTATTTCTAAGGAAATAAAAGGAAGAAAACGTAAAAAGGCAAAAGATCCATAACGAATCAATTTGATTGGCTGGATTTTAGTTTTCTAATAAATAATGCTTCACTGGGATTTTAGTGGTGCGTTGTGTTTGATGCAGCTGAAAGTCAGATGCTCGGATTAACTAGTTTTAGAAGAATTGAAAGAAGGGAAGGAAAATAAGAAGTTTGTTAAGTGATTCTTTATTTTAAAAGTGATAATATGCTTGAAAAATGAAAACTATTTTCAGTTAATTAAAAGTTTTCACAAGAAAAAGATTTGTTGATGATCAGTATGCGACATATTTTCATTCTTAAATCTTAAGCAATCTTGAAGAAGGAAAGGTAGACATGCAATGAATTCAAAGACATGTCAAAATTATTCAAAATTTGATTCATTTAATTTTTGGAATAAGAAATCTTTTATTCAACATCTTAAAAACTTAAGTCATATCAAAGTATCAAATGTGAAGCTTTAAGAGCAGTAGAATAAATAAAATTGATTGCTTTCCTTGGCTTTAAGTATTCCTCACTTTGCACTTTCAAACCTCAACTGATCTGCAATTTTTCTTCAAAACATTTAATGGCAAATCTTTTCAATCTCCCATAATTACTAAATAGGAACATGCAGACGAAATCAGGTAATTAACATCACTTAATGTTGTTGCACGACTTCCTAACAAATCATTTGACGATAATCTCTTTACGCACAGCTTGGTGGAGTATTTATCAATGGTCGACCACTTCCAAATCATATAAGACTGAAAATAGTGGAATTAGCTGCCAGCGGTGTTCGTCCTTGTGTGATTTCACGTCAGTTGCGAGTATCGCATGGTTGCGTTTCAAAAATCCTCAATCGTTATCAAGAGACTGGAAGTATTCGTCCTGGAGTGATCGGTGGAAGTAAACCACGTGTTGCAACTCCTGAAATTGAGAATCGAATCGAAGAAATGAAGAAAGAGAATCCTGGAATTTTTTCATGGGAGATCAGAGAAAGACTTATAAAAGTAAGTGTCACTAGTTTGAGTAGCACACACACAAGTTCTTTTATTGAAGATGTCAGTCAAAAGATTTTATGTTTTGAGTATCGAAACAACATCAATTAAATTAAACTTTTCAACATAAAGAAGAAATTGAAATCAATCGATCAATTTGTTGTGCGTCTTTGGCTGTCACAAACATTTCATTCATGAATGATGAGTTTGAAATTAATCTTGAATCCAACTAATTGATACAGGAGGGCGTTGTTGATCCACCAAGTGTTTCATCGATCTCAAGGCTTCTTCGTGGCGGTGGTGGTGGAAGCGGTGGCGTTGATAGAAAAGACGATAGACGAGATTATAGCATAAATGGAATCTTGGGTGGTAAGTTTTATTACTTTCATAACAATTTATTTATCGAAAACTTTGTATTCTTAATAAAAATAATTCTTTGTACTCATTCATGTTGATGTCTGTTTGACGATGTGACATCAACAAGAATGAAGTTGAAATGAATAAAATCTGACAACTTACACGTCCTTCAACCCAATCCGACACCTTGGAATCCCGTCGGCATCATCTGAAACATTTAAAATATTAATGCAAAGCGATCACATTCGTGATCTACAAAGAGTGTTAACATACACCTACGGAAGACATAAAATTCATTTGAATTAAAATCTGCACAAATACAGGGAAATGAATTGAAATTTAATTCTAATTCTCTTATCTTTCCTCACCTTTTATTGACATCTCATTGAAATTAAATTTGTTTCATTAGCTAACAGCCCGATAAAGTAAGAAATTCTCTTCAGAAACTTAAAACGAAAGTTTTAATTCAAATCTTTTTGATTATAAATATGAAAATCACTACGAAACCCCTGGAAATTATTCACAAGAAAATCAAGCGACTCTTCTTGCACAAAAGGGATTTGCATATAAAAACTGTAAGAAAGTGAGAGAGAACCCAAATATTAATCATATTCGGCGATGCTTATGAATGGACAGTTTGAATGGCAACAACATCGGCGATATTAATAAAATTTGTGTGCGGCTATCATCAAAGGGCAATTAAGAGACGTGCGTTTTGCTTTACACTCGTTTTGAGTATATGAAAGATAAGAATGAATGGACAGTGGACAAAAATATCTCTTAAGCTCTTGTAAGGTCTTAAAAGAAGTTACAAATCTTATAAATTCTTCCTGGAAATTTCAACACACAACACACGTGTTTGAATTTAAAAGGAAATTTATTTAACAAAATTCTTTTAATATCAAATGATGTATTATGTGAACATAAGAGAAACATCACCTCAATCATCACTGATGCAAAATTTACAAGCTTTAAGATCACAGCCAACCAAAACAGAGAAATAATTAAGCAAGAATTACAACAAAAAAGATGTTAAAGAAAAAAAAATTTAAGAGACTTGGACACTAAACATCAGACAGAGAAAAGATTAAACGAACTAATCCGACATTTGATTTATTCTTTTTATATAATTTTTGAGTTCTTTTTATAAAGGTGTTCATATCAAGAGCAGCGAATGATTTTTCGGTGTTGTCCTTGATCGTTTTGATTCTTTTACCTACTTGAGAGTCGCGATATAAAAAGAAGCTACTGTTGAATGCTGTTTTGTCTTGTCGAGATAGTGAGAAATATTAAACTCTCTTTTCAAAACTTATTGATGTTTACTTAGGACAATAAATATTTATGCCTTTGCACCTTCTCATTAGCGCCCTTCTCAGAAGTTTAAATCAAACAAGTTATTGACACGTCTATCATTTTATTTTATCCTTAGTCTCTGGATGTAAAATTACACAATATCCGATATTAGAACCACACACATTCTCTCTCACAATCTCTCTTCAAAGAGTTTCATCAAGGTGTGAAAATCTAATTAAGTCGCACACATATTTTCGGTGGAGTAAGAAGCCAAATCTATTAGCATAAATTATGATGCTTTATGATGATTATTTTCTCACTTTTCTTTATCTTCTTTTCATTTTCTGATGTTTCGTTCGTTGCGTTTTCAAATAACTTATTTGTGCATCTTCGGTTTGTTCTTTCATCTTCAAACATTTACGATCATTTCTTCTGTTTTTGTTTCTTGCTTTGTTTCTTCTCGATGGATAATAAACGATATGAAGATTTTTCTTTAAATTGATTGAGTTGTGGAACATGATTATATTATCACAAGTTCATTTAATTTATTTTTAAAAAGGTCGTGGATCATCTGAATCAGACACAGAATCGGAGCCTGGAATTTTACTAAAACGCAAGCAGAGAAGATCACGTACTACATTCTCCGGTGATCAATTGGAAGCTCTTGAGAAAGCTTTTGCTAGAACACAATATCCTGACGTTTATACAAGAGAAGAACTTGCACAATCGACGGGACTTACAGAAGCAAGAATTCAAGTTTGGTTTAGTAATCGTCGTGCCAGACTTCGGAAACATTCTGGTGGAGCATTATCAATGCCACCCCCGCAATATCATCATCATTCATCATCAATGACTTCTGATTCACCTTATCAAATGAATGGCTATGATTTCATTGGCACTTCAAACCATCATCATCATCATCAAAACACTTTCTCTTCATCGTCAGCGTCGCTTGGTTTCCAACATCCACCATTTCCATCTCAAAGCCAAACATTCAACTCCAACTTCGGTCAAACGACACAAGGTAAGCTTTTCAATCATGATTTGTTTACATTCTTCATTCGTTTCCCCATCCCACAGATTACACATCAAAAATGTTGACCGAACATTCATCAGAATCGATAATGAAACCATCATTAAGCCCACCATCGTCATCCCACTCTGTTTCCACTGAGAGCTTCTTAAAACCAATGCCAATTGATAATGAAAATTGGCCGACGCAAAACTATCAAACATCATTGGGAAATCAACAATATCCGCTGACAAGTTTATGTCAAGGACCTTCAACAACATCAGCAGCGGCAGCTCTAGATTACCACCATCATCATCAAGCTTATTCAAATGCAAGCAAATATTGGTCATGAAGATATTTTTTTTAAACAAATTAAATAAACAAAAGATTTTTTTTTAAGAATTTAAATTTTATTTTTTTGTTGTTGATTAATTTAAAAATTATTCAGTGATATTGATGTTTCGCATTTGACGTATTGCTGCAACTAATCGCGGATCAATTCCTGAACTTGAAGTTAAATATTGTTCACCTTTGATTTTAAGAAGTTGAGCGATTTGTTTTAATTGACTTGAGATAGTCAAACCGAGTTCTTCAAGAACACTTCCAAGATATTCAATGTCAGTTGCAAGTTGCTTAGCTCCACCATCGCCAATCGAATGAACGTGAAGAATTTTTTCTTGATAAAGTGCGCAAGTTTCGTCAGCAACTAAGGATAGAAGAATGTCAGCACTTGGAATGTTTTCTTTGTAACTTGCATCGCTCATTTCCAAAGCAAGTTTCAAAGGTTTCGCTGGATTTAACAACAATGGTTCCAAATTCTGTGGAAGTGTGAGAAGAAATTGTCCAATTTCTGTGATGTATTCAAACGGAGAGAAACTGTAATCAGGAAGATCGGCATCGTTTGAATCACTGATCTCTAACTTTTTAAAGAAACCTTCAATCGGCGCAAATATTAATCGAAGAAGCATGTGATGTGAATCTTTCGCAATGCCATCAATTGGAGTCGTTAAAGTCTCGAAAATCACTGAAGTTTCATTTGCAATCAATCGATTTGTGATTCTCTCAAAGTCGCTGATGTCTCGTTGTCCAACAAGTTTGTAACAAAATTCTTCTTTGCTTTTAATTTCCTTCCATTTAGCAAGCATCATTTTCTTGATTGTTTCTTCAACATCATCGAGTTTTATTTTAAAGTTTCCAATGATTTGAAGGAATGTTATGCAGATTTGAAGAAGATTCCAATCCTGGTGATCATTTCGACTACTGGCGTCTAATTGAAGTTGCGCTTTCTTCATTTTCTCCAAAAATGATTTGAAGAAAGTGTTTAGAATATAAATGAGAGAAACAATCGCACAATTTTGTGTAATTTTTGTTTGTCTGTCAATTGATTGTTGCACCCATTCAAATATTTTCACCAATGAGTTATCAAGACTTCGAATTGTGTCGCTTGAATTTGTTTGAAGAATTTTCGTATCCTCAAGTTGGGAATTCAACAAACTTTGTTCAATCGACGAATATTGAACAATAAAAATGTTAAAGAAATTGAAAACTGCATTTGATAAGTTAGTTAATTTCTCCAATGGCAATTTCCAATCATTTTCTTCAATTTTCTCGACAATTGCTGTCGCAAACTTTTCATTTGATGTTGAAATATCCATCAGAAAATCCATTTTCTCACTGATTCTTTTTAAATATCCGCTGATAATATTCTCCCTCGTTGGATGTAAGGAATTAAGCAGTTCAGTAATTAATTGAATTGTTTCTACAACACCGTCGGATTTGAAAACATCTCGATACCATTTCAATTGCTTTCCCCAACTTGCAATAATAAATTCATAAAAATCAGCAAGAAATCTTTGATTATCGGAATTTTCAAGTGATCCTGTGACTTCAATCCATTTAGCGCCGTAATACTGCTCGCGTTGTAATGTTCCGTAATAATTTTTCATTTGAGGAAGACGATCAATTTTTTCAAACATGTCAACATATTTTCGTGATTCTTCAACGTTATATTCAGCAAGAGCTTTCACGACATCGCTTGTAATTGAAGCTTCAAGACGATTCTTAAACTCTTCCAATACAAGTTCTCTTTCAGCTTGACCAGCCAATCCAAGTTGTGCCTGATAAGAATATTGTAAGGCAAAAAGCTTCTCACATGCAAGACTAATATCTTTCTTCTCATTTTCCAAAAGATCGTCGAGTTCATGTGTAAGTTTCGAGAATGAATCGTTTTGCTCAAGAAAGTTCTTTGCAGCTTCCAGTTTTGTTTTGAGATCAGCTAAGCGTTCTAAATTTGCAATACTAAATGCTGTTTCACTTTTAGTAATATCTTTTTCCAACAAATTCATTTTTTTCTTTAATTGTTTCGCTTGTTCCATCAACTTTTTGGTGTCATTTGCAATCACCGGCATTGTAGAAATGATTCCATGTGTTGTTGATTCAATCGAAGTATTTGCTTCTTGAACGTAGAGTTGAAGCTTCGACACTGATTCTTCAACAGCTTTCTAAGAAATTATTAAAAATAATCAATATAAATAATATTTTACGTGGCAAACAAAATAAAATTCTTACTTCTTTTTCGTTTTTAGGAACATACTTGAACATAGAATTTATCCAATCGATTTCATTGAAATCTGGATCATTCAATATTTGAGTGATATCCTGAGAAGAATCAGAGAACGTAATAAAACGTGAAATTGGTAGAATATAAATAAATTTTCTTATCAAAACTTACCATTTTTAAAAATAAATATTGTAAACAAACATGCGGGGCCGTGCACACTCATCTTTCGGTATTTCATTAGTTCTCTGTCCCTCTCAAAAACACTCTTCAAACTTTCACAACATTTTAAGAGATTTCTCTGAATGTAAGAAGTTATTCGGCCTTAAATTATCCTTACGCACTTCAAGAGAGCAGTTTAACATCTTAACCAATGCAATCATGGGCTCTGGGAAATCAAAAGTGAGTGAAATAAAAGTTTCTTTGGAAAAAAATTATTAGATAACATTCCGTGGATATCAATCCAGTTGAATATTAATCGCGACAGTTATAAATTTAGTGATGATTTCATCAATTTCAGACCTCAAACGAGAGCAATTCAGGAAGAGTCGATTTTACACGCTTCAGAGTGAGTCTACCTATTTAATGACAATGATAAAGAAAGCAGTAATCGATTAATTTTATAATTTTTTGTTTTTCCAGGCTCGAGTAGCAAAAGTTAATATTAAGGGCTTAGATCGTACAAAAGACGATTACATACAGCGGGCTTGTAAAAAACTTTTCGCTGCTAAAACGTTTCAAGATGTTCTCTCGGAGACAAACGAGTGAGTATGAAAATTGTTTAATTTAATAAATTGTATAATTAAATTTAATTTTTTTAAGAGCTTACGAAAGTCTTCAAGAACTTGGCATTTTCAAGAACTTAAAAGCATTTATCGATACTGATAAGTCGTCTGATGCATCAAGTAATGGTTACATTGTATCATTTGATGGTGATGAACTGTCACAAATAACTGGAACAGTTGGAACAGAAATTGGTCAAAATGATGGATCGTTGACAGCTGAACTCGTTACGCCAAACATTTTTGGTCGTGGTGAGCGTTTGAGTATTAATTACAGTTATAGTTATATCAATGCAACCGAACTGAATCTTAAGCTTCTAAAGCCTTTTTACCACACACAAATTGGGGATTACAAACCAGAGTAAGTTGACAAATTTTAATGTACGTTAATGAATATTTAATTTTGTTTAATTAAAGGACATCTGTCACAATCTTCCGGCATTCAAATGTCTCGCCATGGTCTCGTTTCCGTTCAGATCACTCCGGTGTATTGTTTGATTTCAGCTTTTTAATGCCTTTGGCAATCCACCACAGTTTTCAATATGAATTGGGCATGAAAGAGATCTTTGCAAGTAACAAATCGACACCTTTCTTCATTCGCAAAGATTGTGGACCACGACTTGCTTCAGTGTTTCGTCATATTGGATATTTTGATACGCGTGATGATTCAGTTTTTCCTACCGAAGGTGTTTTTATGAGAACAACATCGGAAGTGATTGGTGACAGACTCTCACAATATGGAGCCGTGAAAAATGAATCACATGTGGAAATGAATGTGCCGCTTTTTGCTGGAATGTCGCTTCAACTTTGTGGTCGTTTGGGAAAAATTTATGAAAATCAGCGAGTGATGAGACCACTTCCAATTGATAGTCTTTTCTTTCTTGGTGGACCTCAGTCATTGAGAGGATTTGATGCAGCAGGTGCAACACCAGTTGAAGATGGAGTTCCAAAAGGTACAAGAGCGTATTGGGCAACGGGAATTCATTTATGGACACCATTGCCATTCCACAATCATTTTGGAGGCTTTGCAGATTTGTTCAGGACGCATTTCTTTTATAACTTTGGAAATTGTGAAACATTTAGTCTTGGTAAGATAGAATCATTTTACTTCTAGCAGTTTAATCATTATTTTATTTAATAATCAGATAATATCAGAATTGCCTGCGGCATGGGAATTGCGCTTAGAATTGGAGGACGTGCAAGGATCGAATTCAACTACTGTTATCCACTAAGAAAGGAGAAAACTGATAAAATTCGACCAGCTTTTCAATTTGGCATAGGATATGAATTCTTGTAATTAAATTATCTAAAAAATTTTAAATTCTTGAGAACAATAAAAAAATTCGTTGAGAAAAGATTTGAATGAGAGGGGCAATTAACTTTTTTGAAAGGAATAACTTTGAGAATCTCTGGGTTTTCACGCTTGTTTACAAAAAATTTGCCGATTGAAAACGTTGTAAACGCCGGAAAAATAAAAAAATTAAATTTTAAGATAAGAACTAACTTAAATAAGTAACAAAATAAAATGGATTCCGATCTTTATGATGAATTTGGTAACTATATTGGTCCTGATCTTGAAAGTGACTCAGAAGAAGAAGAATTTGAACCTGAAATTGATGTAAGGAAAACTCGCATTTATTGTTCTTAAAAATATTTATGAATATAAATTCTAATTAAAGGATGATGCTATTGAAGAAGAAGCTGAAATGGAAGTTGATGAAGATAAGACTTCAAAAGCAATTGTTCTTCATGAAGACAAACGTTACTATCAAACAGCATTGGAAGTTTATGGACCTGAAGTTGAGACAATTGTTCAAGAAGAAGATGCTCAACCACTGGACAAACCATTAATTGAACCAGTTAAGAAAGTAAAATTCCAGTTGAAAGAGCAAGATTTACCACAAACAACTTATTCAATGGAGTTTCTCACTGACCTTATGGATACTCCAACTCTTGTCAGGAACGTCGCCCTTGTCGGTCATCTTCATCATGGAAAGACAACATTTGTCGATTGTCTCATCCGTCAAACTCATCCTCAATTTTGTGACATGGAAGAGCGCAATTTACGTTACACTGACACTTTATTTACTGAACAAGAACGAGGTGTGAGCATCAAGTCGACTCCAATCACTCTCGTCCTGCAAGACGTCAAAGACAAAAGTTATCTGATGAACATTTTCGATTCTCCTGGCCATGTCAACTTTTCTGATGAAGTTACTGCTGCTATGCGCATGGTTGATGGAATTGTGTTGTTTGTTGATGCTGCCGAAGGTGTTATGTTGAACACTGAACGTTTACTCAAACACGCAATTCAAGAGAAACTCGCAGTCACTTTGTGCATCAATAAAATCGATCGATTAATTCTCGAACTCAAACTTCCACCACAAGATGCTTATTTCAAACTCAAACACATCATCGATGAAGTTAATGGATTAATCACGTAAGAAGAATTTATCTTCTTAGCTGCAAAACTTTTTCATTTTCCTTCTTTTTTTTCGCAGTCTTTATGGGAACACAAATCCACAATTGTCACCAATAATCGGCAATGTTTGCTTTGCAAGTTCACTTTATGGTCTTTGCTTTTCATTGAAATCATTTGCGAAACTTTATTCGGAGACTTTCAATGGTGTGTCAACAACTGAATTTGCGCGACGTTTATGGGGCGACATGTACTTCAATAACAAGACGAGAAAGTTCTCTAAAAAGCCAGCACACAGTTCAGCTCCAAGAAGTTTTGTTGAGTTCATTCTTGAGCCAATTTACAAGCTTTTCGCACAAGTTGTTGGTGATGTTGATGGAACACTTGCTGACACACTCGCTGAACTGAACATTCGAATTAACAAGGAAGAAATGAAGAGCAACATTCGTCCATTACTTCGATTGGTTTGCAATCGTTTCATGGGAGATCTCACTGGGTTTGTTGACATGTGTGTTGAACACATTCAGTCGCCACTTGAATTCTCAAAAACTAAGATCGATCACATCTACACAGGACCTAAAGATGGTGTTTTATATCAAGACATGCTCGATTGCAATCAGAATGGAAATCTCGTGGTTCACAGCACAAAAATGTATCCAACTGACGATTGCAACATTTTCTTAGTTCTCGCTCGTGTCATGAGTGGAACAATTTACAGCGGTCAAGATGTTCGCATTCTCGGTGAAAATTATTCACTTCTTGATGAAGAAGATTCAAGAATTGTTCAAACTGGTCGATTGTGGGTTTACGAAGCGCGTTACAAAGTTGAATTGAATCGTGTGCCGGCTGGAAATTGGGTGTTGATTGAAGGAATTGATCAAAGCATCGTGAAGACGTCAACAATTGTTGATGTGAATGTTCAAGAAGATCTTTACATCTTTCGTCCATTGAAGTTCAACACTCAAAGCATCATAAAAATTGCAGTTGAGCCAGTAAATCCATCAGAACTCCCGAAGATGTTGGATGGACTTCGTAAGGTCAATAAAAGTTATCCTTTAGTATCGACAAGAGTTGAAGAGTCTGGTGAACATGTCATTCTTGGAACTGGCGAACTTTATCTCGATTGTGTCATGCACGACTTGAGAAAAATGTATTCAGAAATTGACATCAAAGTTGCTGATCCCGTTGTGTCGTTTTGTGAGACTGTCGTTGAAACAAGTTCATTGAAATGCTTCTCAGAAACGCCGAACAAAAAGAACAAAATAACGATGATTGCTGAACCATTGGAGAAAGGTTTAGCTGAAGATATCGAGAATGAAACTGTTCAGATTGGATGGAGTAAGAAAAAGATTGGAGAATTCTTTCAGATTAATTATGAATGGGATTTGCTTGCGGCACGCTCAATTTGGGCATTTGGTGGTCCGAATATTCTTGTCGATGACACTTTGCCATCAGAGGTTGACAAGACATTGCTGGGATCGTTGAAGGATTCAATTGTTCAAGGATTTCAGTGGGGAACACGTGAAGGACCATTATGTGAAGAACCGATAAGAAATGTGAAGTTTAAGATCCTTGACGCTGTCATTGCTAATGAGCCATTGCATCGAGGCGGGGGCCAAGTCATCCCAACAGCTCGTCGTGTTTCTTATTCAGCTTTTCTCATGGCGACGCCACGATTAATGGAACCGTATTTGTTTGTTGAAGTGCAAGCGCCAGCTGACTGCGTTTCTTCTGTTTATACAGTATTGGCGAGACGTCGTGGTCACGTCACACAAGACGCTCCCATTCCCGGATCTCCTTTATACACTGTCAAAGCTTTCATTCCTGCAATTGATTCATTTGGATTCGAAACTGACTTGAGAACTCACACACAAGGACAAGCTTTCTGTCAAACTGTCTTTCATCATTGGCAAATTGTTCCTGGCGATCCTTTAGATAAAAGCATCATAATTCGACCTTTGGAACCACAACCAGCGACACATTTAGCGAGAGAATTCATGATCAAGACGAGAAGACGAAAAGGACTTTCTGAAGACGTTTCCATCAACAAATTCTTCGACGATCCGATGTTGTTGGAACTTGCGAAACAAGACGTTCTGCTTAATTAAACTTTTTCTCTTCTTCTTCTTTTAAATCATTTTTGTAATCACTTTTAATAGATTTAAATAAATTCAACTTAAATTTAAAGACAAAAATCTTTATTGAACGAAATTACAACAAATCAGAAATTGTCAAATCAGTTCTTACAGCATTGTTGAAACCTTCTTTAAATTTGTACCAAATTGGACTTTTAATAAAGACGTCGGGTGAGTTTTCGTCGCATTCTTGTGCTGCAATGGATGGCTTTGATGTAATGCGTCCAAAAAAGTCTTTGGAGACCTGTTGAATGGAAGTTTGTAGATGGAACTTGAGAAATATTAAAATTCTTACCGTTTTAATTGGCTTTGCAACTTTAATGTCTTTAGGGATGAGACGTTGCAAATGATTTGGCAGCGTTTTTGGAGTCTCAGAAATCTTATCAGAAGTTCCTTCTAATGAAACTTCTGCTTGAACTTTCTTAACTTTAGGCTTGGCTCGTCTCATTTTTTCTATTTCAACTTCTCTTGCGATTGCTTGCTTGCTCCAATAACTCATTTTTCCAAATTGTTTCTCTTTTTAAAAAGAATTTAATTGTGAAAATTGTTTCAAGAGATGTGAAAGAAATTTAATTACCTGAAAAGGTTTCACCAAGATATTCAATGTCGGGATCAATGCGATATGTGTAAGCGCCATCAGCAGTTTGCAGTTGAATGAATGAAAGTCCTAAGTCAGCGATGACCTCAACAGTGTGCTTTATGTCGAGCTTCTCCTTCTCCGACAGCAAATGCATCGAAACTGATCGAACTTCCGGACTTATAATAATCTTTAATAAACTGATCGAATCCAACATCACTTCAATTCCTTTTCCAATTCCAACAAGATTAGATGAAATTCCTTTTTTGAAGGTTCCAAAAATCATTTTTGTTGACGCTTTTTTCTGCGATATTTCATAACTTTTATGAGGAAAATGGATTTGTGGATATGTTAACGTTGCGAATAGAAAATGCCAACCGACAAATCCATAAGCAAGATAAGAATAAATTGAATAATTTTGAATATTATTAATTTTACTTTGAATGTGATCGTTAAAGCAAAACCAATTATGAGCTTCAACAACTGTCGACATGGTTTGATCTGAAATTTTCTGAGTCAAGAAATTCTCATGAACGCCTTGAATCAGTCGATCGTATTCAGATGAACTATGAACAGTTTTCAAAACGTGATCCATTCTTGTTCTGTCTGAAATTTCACTCATTCCAACCATTTCTTGCTTCTGTTCATTTGAAGTTTGAATGAATTTTCGGTTTCGTTGAATTTGAAAAATAGAAGACCAAATATTGAAGATGGATTTGTGTTGATCTTTTTCTCCAATGTTGCTTTTCGTGACATCGAGTAATGTTAATGGCTTCTTAGAGCAGCTGAAGAACTGAATCATCGAAATACATGAGCGGATGTCACTTCCAGTTTTCTCACATAAAGCCAACATTGTCGTCAAATCACTTTCAACTTTTTCTTTCCGTGCAATGTGGAGTAAACGATCAGCTAATCTTGAACTGTCAATTTGATTAATATTCAAGACAAAAGCAATTTGACGAAGATTTCTCATGTTTGCACCGTACATGTCGTTGCAAATGCAAATTATTGGACGTTTTAAGATGAATTTCTTGTTGTTTTTACCTTTCTTTGACTTCTCCACGACTTGACCAGAAACGAAGCGAATTAAGAATTCAATTGATGGCAGTGGAGCTCCATCAATCTCATCAAGAATAATGCAATTTGGTCGATTGTCGCGATTCAGAACTGAAGTCATTTGTGTTCCATTCTCGAGCGCTTGTCGAAAATTATCAACAGTGCAATCATCAGACGCGTTCATCTCACGAATGTCATAACCAGCATGACGAGCAATAACATGAGCAAGAGTCGTCTTTCCTAAACCAGGTTTACCCACAATCAAAGCAATTTTTTGCACAGGAACATGATTAGCATCAAGTTCAGTGTTGAGAGTCGCTTTTTGTTTTCTCGACCAACCTCCGTTCTGCACAAATCTTCCTGTTTTCTTATTGAAACTATTCAGCTGACCAGGCTTGAAAGTCTTCTTCACAACGTCTCGTTTGTAAACGATTTTATCCCACAGCTTCAGCCATTGTAACAAAGAACGATTTGTGAATTCATCAGACAATAAATCGACGTACTTTCTCGGTTGATATTTATCCACGAGCAAATCCACAGAATCATTTTGTCGATGAATTTCGGGAAGAATTTCCAAAATATCTTGATTTTCATTATAAGCTTTGGAAATTATTTGATTCGCCTCTTGCCAGATGTTTTCTCGTTCATTCCCAAGTAAGTTTTTTAAGCCACCATCGAAAAGTTTAATTTCTGACAACATTTTCTCTTCAAATTCTTCATTGTGAGTGCGAACGTAAATTCGTTTCTCATCATTTGAAATTGTTGAAAACGAAAATCTAAAAATTCATAAATTATTTGAATTAGTGACTAATATTTAGGTAATTAAACTTACTTTGGAATAGTTTTCGATAAATTTTGACTTTTGAATTTATGTAAAGCTTCCAAACGATAAAAATGTGGCTTTTTTGATGGATTGACGAGTTTGTCAAAGTTCTGACGAGCTTCCAAGATTCGTTGAATTGTTTCAAGATCTCGTTCCTCTTCTGTTTTTATCTTTTTCGCATAAACATCATCAACATCAATGTCATAAATATCACCAAACAAATCTTCAAGACGTTGTCTCTTCTTCCGTTTGTTTTGATTAGCTTCATAATTATGGGGATCATTTTCTGTATCTTCTTCTAATGTTTGAAGTGTTTTCATCTTCTCTAAAAACGGTGTTGATGTAAACTTCTGTTTACGAGGTTGAAGAGAAGATGTTAAACAGAAACCATCGGTGGAGATTTGTGAAAGTGCCGGGCTACTCAAAAGAGTAGCATTCTTATTAGAGGCACATGTTTTTTGAGTTGAAACAATCGGGCCTGCTTTTTTATTGCTATCATTTATTACCGGGATTGAAGTTTCTTCTAAACACATGAAAAAAATTCATTCGATTTAATAAAATTTAAAATTGTTAATATGGGTTCTATTTACCATCAAATTCATTGAGCATTTCTAATTCTTCACCATATATCAACTCATAATCTTCTTCTGTCATTGGATGATCCATTTTATATTAAATAATCTTCCTTCCTTCAACTTAAATATTTATTTTTTGTTATTGTTTTCAATTGGTACTTGGCGGGAAGATTGCGAAGGGTAAAGAAATCGTAACTTTTTAAAATCTAAAATTTTTTCATCGGTTACATCAGAATCAGAAATTTACACAAAAATAAAATTTTCATAAAATCAAGAAAAAAATGTTATTTCTTTTATTTTGAAAAGTCTTATATACAGATTTAAGATATTTAACATCTAATGAAATAATGAGCAAAGAAAGTTATCAAGCAGAGAACAATAAATATTGAAAATTGGTCTTTGGCAGTAAAATAGAAGCATAAATAATGTTTAATTGTAATTTAATTTTTATCTAAAAGTGATGATTGTTGATCCAATTCTCTTATCACTTATCACATGAGCAATTGCACGTTCTGCTTCCTGAGGATTGTAAACTTGATCGACCACAGTGTTTAACATTTCGTCGTTAACATAACTCGCTAGAAGTTCAAGATTGTTATGGCAAAGATGTGGTTCATCGGTCCACGATGGCTCTACATTAATTAATCTACAACCAATTTTCTTAAAAACAATATACGCCTGTCAATAAATAAACATAATTAAAGTTTTAGATTGAAATTGACATTTTGTTAACATTTTACCTTAAGAAGCGTTCGCATAATTAAATTGTAATTGTCAGAAGGTAAATATTTCTCAGTTGCATGGATGACAATTCCATTAGGACTCAAGAATTTCGTGATAAAATCAGTATTGTAGTTGAGATGTGTTGTGAAGAACACGACATCATATTTATCATTTCTGCTAAGCAATTCGTTAAGAAACGAAGACTGTTCAATATTTTTCTCGTAAAAATTGGCTTCGAAACTATCATTCGAGAATGTTATGATTTCATCAGCTCCTGTAATAATTAAAAATATTTGATTAAATATTTTTGAAATGATTATTTAACTTTTTGATTTGAATTGAGAGTTCACCTCGTTCTCCTGATGCATGATAGCAAAATATGTAAAAATATGAATAAAAAAGTTGTAATAATTATTATGATAAACTCACCAAGAGCATTAACTACAGGAGCGGATCTTTGATGACATGTCACCACAATATATCCGCCCCACTTCTTCAACAATTGCATCAAAATACATCCAACCGGTGAACATCCATCTTGAATAAAAATCTTCTTTCCCATCGAAGTATTTTCATTCAACTTTGCTTGTTTCAACGCATGAATTGCCATGCAACCATCATAAGGTAGACTTGCAGCACCTTCAAACCCTATCAGGACAGGTTTCCTAGAAACTCTTGTTTCGTTCGTCACAACTAATTGCGATGCTAAACCAAACTCATAAGAAGATGAAGCAAGCCAAACTTCATCGCCTATTTCAAGTCCACATTTTGCATCTTTTCCAACATTCTCCACCACTCCAGAACACGATCGTCCTATGACTAAAGGAAGTTCAGGATTTCCTGCATGATAATTTTGAAGAATTCTTCTCAATGTTCTTCCATATCCTTGAGATATTGCAACATCAAGTCGACTGATTGCCACTGCTCTAACTCGTACAAGAATGTCAGATGTCGATGTTAAATGAGGAAGATTTGTCTTAGATAAAGTTACATTGTCAGGACCATAATATGAAACGCATGCAACTGAGTTCATTATTGGATTTGCAATATTTTTTCTGGCCAACCACATTCCGATTACGCAGCCACCAGCTGTACCGAGGCCAAGTCCAAGAAGAACAAAATATGTGTTGTTTCTAGAAACTTTAAATAAAATCCAAATGAAACCTCCTGGAAACACTTAAGAAATCATGAACACTAACTTTCATCTCTGAAGATTTGTTCCAACTGATCAAGCATTGTTTGTGTTCTTAATGCATCCTTGATTCTTCCTATCACATCCAGAAACGTTCTAAAAACTGCTTCAGCTTGTCCTTTAATTTGATTGAGATTTTGATTTAATCCTGGATCATGAATGACCTGAAATTAACAATTATTGAATGTATTCCATTATCAATGGTTAAATTAAACATTTTATTACTCTCATAGCCATCTCTCTGGCATCGTCGCTAGCTTGGCGAAAGACTCTCATACTCTGCTCTTGTGCCATATTTATATGAACCTTTGTGCAGTTTTTGTTGTCAATTTGATTTTATTTCATTAGTAAACTTCTCGAAACATTTAAAGACATATATTTAGTCAGTCTCTTAGGATATTTTACATGAATTACAAATTCATTAGATGAATGAAGGAGGTTAAAAAATTTCCTGAATTTTACATCCTATACCTGAAAATCACTTATGAAATGACAAAAGTTTTCCATGACGTTGTTTGAGTTTCACTAATTATTAATCTTAGGTATAAACTTGTCAACTTTGGCGAAGAAAACTGATTTAAGACAACTTTTTATATCACAGAAACCTCAAAAAACTTTAAATTTTATATTTCTATTTCATTATTGACAATTTCTTTTGAAAGTGTAGGGTATTGTTTACTTTTTGAACTAAATTTACAAAGCAATCGTCCTTAATTAATACTTTAATGTCAAAACTTCTATTTTTTGTCGCTTCTGTTTTCATCAATTTTTAAAGTTTTGTTATGTAAATTTTTTTCATGAACCGGTTCAAAAGTTTAAAAAAGAAGAGGTTTGGATTTCGATTGTCTTGACAAATGATCTTTTGTGTTGATTTAAAGTTTAAAAAACATTCAAGATTTTATAAGTGATTTTGAAAGCTCTTCTAGCGCCTCATCTTATTTCAAAGCTGCACTACTAAGTTCGTCCCACTGCGACCCTTTGCAATAACTCGTTTAACCTATGATTGGCTTTTTAATCTCTTTTCAGATCCATTACCTGAATAAAATATAAATAAAGAACGACTAAACATGGCCAGTACAGGAAGCGACCTCACTCAGGCAGCTGACGCCAAATTGAAAATTCCTCAACCCATGGACCCAACGTCCATAGCCTTCTCTTCCATCGGAGATGCATACAAGCCAATTCCACTTAATATTGAATTTTTTAATACATACGCACCACGTCTACGCGACCCGATCCCGATAATTGAAACTATTAATGCTGACATAAGTCCAAGCGATATGTCACCTTATTTTAAGGCTACCTTTGAAGCCATCCACGATGCCATCCACTTAGAACAACGTCATACACCGGAGATACTCACTGCTAATGAACACGATCAAGTTTGTCGTTACATTCTCAAGCAAAGACTCAACCATTGCTCCGCACCGCTTCTCAACGTCGAAGTAGATAACAACACCTTGCTGGATTACACATCATTACCAGCCAGTGTTTCGAATATCATCAACGATGTCGGACCAATCCTCGTAGACGAAGGTGCTTATACTATCGTCCCAACATACGTTCCAGAACCAACCGACGACCCAACTCCATTCACAGGTCCTGTCTCATCAGATGGAAGCTACTCCCCAATGCTACATAAGACAATAATGTTATCTTTAGCAAGAGTCCAAAATATTTTGAGTGATAACCCACAAATGAAACAGGAACATCGCACCCTGTTTGAAGCACATCTTGAAAGAAATATTAAATATCAAGATTGGTATGCACAATTATTACCAATTACTGATGATGACATTCTTCCAATCATTGAAAAATTTTCACGGTTTGTCAACATTGCACACAATTCCGGTAAAATCAATATCGGAACTATTGACGAAACTGCACAAGGCAAGCCCTTCTGGATACTCTATGTCGAAGACACTTGCACATTGAAAGCCGCAACCGGTACCTCAAAGTCTGTCCTTATCAGGACTAATTACTGGGAAGCTACCCAAGATGACGTCTTCAAAGCAGCCATCGTTCAGTCGACAAACTCAAAGTCAACGCCTATCTACACCAATTACATCTTGTCTGCAGATTCACCAATGAACGGAGTTTTATCAACACGTAAATTGTACGCAACTGGAGCAGAACCAGAAAACGTTTAAGTTTATACAATCTTTTCCTTAAATATGTACCTACCTACTTTAAAATGAATTACTGTAAAAAATCGTTAAAACTGTGGCAATAAATTAATTTGACGTTATGAATTAAAAATTAATTAGCCGTAAATAAATACTGATAACTCTGTTTAAGAGAATATTTTAATTTCTTTTTAAGATGTTCAACAACGATGAATAATCAGATTTAACTCACCGTTGAAACGACATTAATGTTTCGATATTAATGGAATTTTAAAGAAACTCAATCATGTTGTATGAATTACAGAATTAATAAGACCTGAGACACATTTTAAAAATTTCTTATTATTTTATAATACTTTAAATGAGATTAACGAAAGAAAATCCTTAATAATTAGGTATTCTTTGTTATTTAATTTTTTAATAACTTTAGACATTTAATAGATCATACGTTATAACTTGAATTTGAAAAGAGTCATAGCTAAAGCTGAGCGTTGATGATTCGAACATGTTTCGAATTTAAACCGTTTTCATAGATTCACTTCAAACAAGTTTTCAAAAGCAGATTTGGTTTTAAAAGCAAAGAATAATCTTTTATATGTATTACAGCCTAAATATGGAAGAATCGGGATTAAACGTATTGAGTGACGATGTAATGCTTAATATATTCGAATATCTTAATTCAAAAACTATGAAAACTGCAACTTTAGTTTGTAAAAAGTAAATTAGATATTATTCTATAGGTTAGGTCATTTTTCTAACACACGATTAATTTTCAGATGGAACGAAATCATTGGAACACACGCTTCAACAATGCGTAAACTTCCACTTCATATAGATTCGACGGGACAAATTTGTAATGCAGAATTTAAATTGACTCGAAAC